GTTCTCCTTGGCTTCCTCCACCAATAAAAACTGACTGCCACGAAATAGCACAATAGTGTTGAAAGTGGCATTAAACACCAATCAATCAATCAATACACATCTATATCAAATCTATAAATTTTGAAAAAAAGGTTTGGTTAACTGGTTAGCGCTTTTGGTATTCGATATTCAGTCCTTTTGACGGTTAACCGGTTAACCGATTAACGGTTGACAACACTACAAAAAACAAACAAAAGACAAACAGTCCAAAAAACACATTTTATATATAAGATGAGTTGTAAAGACAATGCCTTCATATGAATCAGCACACCATCATCATACCCCTACTCACAGGCCTCATTCAGCAGGTGTATAAATATTGAAATTCATTTTTTTTAATATCTTTTAAATTAGAATAAACATTTATACATGTACCAGTATCTATAAAGAATGATTGATTGTTTCTAGCTTAATGTCCTAATTGTTAAAAAAATTTCAACATAAAAATTTGATGTACAAATGCTAAAGTTTCAGAATCAGAAACAACTTATACTGCAATTTAAAATTACTGTATCATCAGTGGAGATTTATTTTTTAAAACTACTATTTTTTCTAATATAAATACACGTAAAATCATATTTACCCTTTCTAAATGGCCAAAGCTGTAAGTCTGGTTATATCTGAAAAAGAAATGAACCTATTTATCTTTCAAAGATAAAATGTTCTGCATTAATTTTCATGTATTAAATAAGTTTAAATATAATTTCAATGGTTTTTTTTTTCATATTAAACAAGAACATAAGTGTAAAATAACAAGAGGCTCTCAAGAGCCTGAATCTCTCACCTGTAATTTTTTGCTTAATTTTCATCAATGATTATTTTTGCTTTTCAATATATATTAACGAGTGGCTTAAAAATGCCATTTAAATGTTCTTTGTATCTGTCATATTTTCTTCAAAAGCAAAAAAATGCATTTTACCCCGAAGTTCCATTTTAGCCATAGTGGCTATGTTTCTTGACATACAAGGAAATGAAATACAAAATTTATACCAGATACTCTAAAACACATTCAGCCCAAGTTTGGCTGAAATTGATTGATTTGATTGATTTTTGGTGTTTTAACGCCACTTTTAAGCACCGCTTTTGGGCTATTTCGTGGCGGCCAGTTTTTATTGGTGGAGGAAGCCGTAGTGCCCGGGGAAAACCACGACCTTCGATAGGAAAACTGACAATCCTAGTCAATTAAGATTGGAGTCGAGTGCACCCGCACGAGCGGGGTTCGAACTCACAACCTCAGTGTTGACTGGCTAGTGATTACAGTAGTAACTACTTAGACCACTCGGCCACCGAGGCCCCAGCTGAAATTGATTCAGCAGTTTCAAAGGAGAAGATTTTTTAAAGTAAGCAAACTAAATGAACAAATTGTGAAAAATTGTCTTTAAAGGGCAATAACTCCTTAAGGGGTCAGTTGACAATTTTGGTCATATAAAAACTTATTTGTAGATCTTACTTTGCTGAACATTTTTTCTGTTTACAGTTAATCTTTATCTATAATAATATTCATGATAATAACCGAAAACTGCAAAATTTCCTTAAAATCATCAATTCAGGGGCAATAACCTAAAAATCAGATACCCCATTTGGCTGATAGTTTCAGAGCAGGTAGACCTTGACCTAATGAATACTTTAACTTCTTGTCTGATTTGGTCGAAATACTTTAGTTTTGAGATATGTCAAAAACTGCATTTTACCCTATGTTCTATTTTTAGCCATGGCAGCCATGTTTTCTGAGGAAACAAAATAAAACACAAACTTTATTCTAGATACCCTAAGGATCATTCAGCTTAAGTTTGGAAAGGTGAGCTAAAAATGGTGCCCTGAAAAATAATCATGTTTAGAATGAAACTTTTGAAATTTAAAATACTTCTAAAACAGGTTTACCAAAAGTTATATGTCCCATCACACTGATGACATAGTGGACAGCAGCCCTTTGCAATCTACTGGAAAATTTCCAATTCTTAAACTTTGAAGACTTTCTTCCTGTCGATCTTATTATGACAGTTATATCAGGGATGTACATTTACATCATTTCACAGTGACCTTGATGACTATAGATCTTAAAGCGCACAGTACTATATTTGGTTATTGATTTCTCTACTGGTGTGTGACCTTAACAATGTTTTGATATTCAAATTAAATTTGTTCTAATATCTTTAGACAAACTTTTTGGAGTATTTTTAATAAAAGTATGAGCACTTTTTCCACAGCACATTTATTATGTGAAATATTAGATAAATTACTTCCACATTTCTGTGAGTATTTCTTCAATAATCTCTTCTTTATCTTGTTCTGTGTCAATCTTCATCAAGTCTGCCATTCTTTCCATTAGGCCTTGGATCATCTGTAACTGTAGTCCAGCATCTTTTGTTTGATATGTCCAAGCATGATCAATCAGGTATATTCTAAAATAAAAAGAATGAACCATCAATATTTTATTACAGCAAACTAAATTTTTATGAGTTCAGATTGTTCTAAACTTTTCAGTTTTATCTTGCAGGGTAAACAAAATAATTTCCAGGACAAGACATTCAAAGATTCTTTCAAAATGTTACAACTATAATCAGAGCAAAAAAACAAAAAAGAATTTAAACCCATTTTATTGCTTATCTTGATTTATATATTCAAAAATTCCTTGTTATGTTTTCCAGGCAAAATAATTAATATAACATGTCTAAAAAGTGATGACAATAACTTGAATTAAATCAGTAATAGGACTATACAATAAATGATAGTTGAACAGCTGATTTGCTAAACACATGCTTAAAGCAAGCAGTGGATTATCTATTATTGTCTTGTAAAACTCAGCACCCATTCCAAAACACATACATGTACATGATACATACATTGTATTAAATTTAAGTAAATAATAAATTACTTTATTCCTTTTATGGTTGTTCTTTGTCTAGATATAAATTGTATATGCTAATTCAGGATAAGAACAATCTAAACCTTAACAGTTACACCCAATTGATAGGTTGTCAAAACTGAGTTGAGAGGGACTTTCAACAAGTTGAGAGTTTTGACTGTCATTGTAAAACAAAGGTGTATTACATGTTGGTAGACTGTTTCAATAGGACACATTTAAAACTTTCCGAGATAATGTAGTTGTTGTATGGTTTTTTAATGTATATACAGCATTTCTAGGCTAAGATTTGTCAACCCATCCTCCAACACAAAAACTACTACATATTTATAAAAATGTACATGAAACAGTGCCAGACTCGTAATATAATTTATGATGGAAATTAAGTAGTGATTTTGTAGGGTAAACATGTTAAATGGCAATGGTTATTGAGAAATATAGTCTTACTGGTTTGGATCTTGACAGGAAATTTCTTTCTCTGTAACTACCTTCCATTTTACATTGTCTTCCTCATCCATATAACATAAAATTTTGAATGAGCTGCCAGCATCGAAAATCTGCAAAAATAAAACAAATTCGATTAAACTTTTATCAAATGTAAATCAATACTACAATAATTATTATACCACAGTTACATAGCATCCTTTCTTTATGATGGAAGTAATTATCACAGCTTTCAAATTGCTTTCCAAAAGAAATGACTACTGAAGTCTTGATGAGGATCCAGGATTTTGAAATAAGGGGGCCCATTGGCCCCAAATCTAGACAAATTTTGGAGTGGAACCAGTAAAAAGTCTATAAAGGTAGCTCTAAAACGGGGGTGGGGTGGGATGGGGGCATAGGTGTAAAATATTGACAAATATAATACCTACCCATGTTAAAATTAGCATAGAGCATGGCATGACAGATTTATTTCGATTCTAATAGGAAAATTTTGAACTTTTGTACCTCGAATCGGACCTATAATACGCGTTCAAAAGGCATCCATTTTGATTTGATGAAGCCAAAACGTTTTAGAAAATCAACTGTTTCACGATAGACAAATGAACAAATACATGTACATGTAATCTTACTTCATGAATGATTTTATTTAATTTCCTAGCATGCAACACCAAAACAAAATGTCCATTTTGATTTCCGGTGTTATTCAAAACACAGCTGATGTTGCAATTTCAATTGTGACGTCAATCAAGTGCAGCCCATGTTTTATTGGAATTAGAACATGGCCTTGTTTCCAAAGCAAAAAAAGAACGTCATATTAGAATTACAAATAAATTTTTAAAAAGTACTTGATTAAATAATCAGTATAACTATTGTCAAACAATAACGTTTGAGCTTAAAAATGAAACAATTATAAATCATAAATAAAAATGTAGTATATATTTTTCCTTTTCTCCATCTTTTTTTTCTTTTTTATATCGCAAAATAGGAAAAAGCAATTGAAGATCAGGAAATATATGCTATATAGAGACAAGAATTTGGTCTAGTGGTAATGATTCGGTCTAGTGGTAATGCATTAATCACTATAATATCTCTGAACCGTCTGACCATTAAGCTGTCAGACTATTGAACCTTTGGATTACCACTACGGCCCTAAGATTTTTATCCTTATTTAGTTATTACTCATGATCCATATAAATTTATTTTCTGAACTGAGTGTTTTAAAATTATGACAGCTCTTGCTAATGGATTTTATGTATTGTTCTCTGTTCTGTTTAAGACAGGTGCAGTCCATAAGGAAATGTACCTCGTCTTCAACAGCCTGATCACAAAGATTATGACTCTGGTTTCTTGTGCAGTTATATATATAGGCAAAAAATAAACCAAATGAATGAAAATGAAAGACCTCATTAGCCAACTTTTCGTGTAAAGTTGGCCATAAAATATCAGGCACTACAGATGATGACAACTGTGCTCCATGTACAGCTTTAAATTCTTCTTGGCTCATTTTCCTTTGAGATACATCGGTGGCATGTGGCATGTTTACAAACAGGACATGTGCTGGAACTCTTTCCAGAGAAAACCAAAAAAGTTGTTAATTTTGCGTTCTCGGATTTAACGATAACATTTTATGAAGAGATCAGAGAACATCGAATAGGTTATACTTTCGATTTGTTTGGGCGCGTCTGCAGCAACGGATTATATGTTGGTTAAAAATGCCTCTTGGAATAGATAGAAGTCATTTTTACGAGGAAAAAGTTAAGCATATTGAAAAAAGCAACAGGGTAAGGAAATAATATTATTAAAAATTGACACCACAAGGCACAACTGTTGAAACTTGAGTAAATTAACAAATTTGCCATATGCAGTGTGTTAACCTTTTAAAAATTGCCAATTACATTAAAAAAAAAAACCAAACCTGTAGAAATTGAAACAGAATACAAATAAATCTGTTCAGGTAAAGATTTGCCATATAACATTTTATTTGCTTAATAGAATATTGACTTAATTATTGTATACATTGCAATATGAGTTATACTATAAATCTGCACTAGGGGATATCTAGCTGCGCATCGTAAGGCCCGACAAGATTAGCCAGGACCCCATGCTAATGTCACTATATGTGTTATAAGGTCACAAAATGAGGCAAATGTTAAATGACCTTGTTTACATCGCATTACTGGCATTATTACTGCTGTAACGGTATTGCTTCCCTTGAGTAGCAGAGAGCTAGCTACTTTGTAATACAGAGGTTTTGGGTTCGAGTCCTTGGGGAGACAAATTAATTATGTGTTGAGAATCATGCTCTCTGGTTACATACACCATCTAGAGTTGTTTTTTATGAATGATTTGCACCAATTAACCAGGGGTCAATCAGCGTAAACAACGTCATCGAATAATCGGTTCTTACCAAGACATAATAACATAAGCATTATGACATAGGAAATTTACGGGAAAGTGCACAATTTCGAAAGTCATCTATTTGCGCCCATTTGAAAACCCACAATGGTTAGAAAGGATATCTAGAGGCCTCACTGTGACTTTGTGCGCTGTTCCTTTGCTTTTTATGTTTATTTTCTGTGCATATATGTGTTGTAAGAGTCATAATGGTATGATGACTGTTGAGATGGGGGAAGTGTGATGGGATTACTCCCTTGAAAAGTAGATACTAAATCAGCTGTAAGCGGTTGAGCATAAGAATTAAAGAAGTAATCATATGTTCATCAGATACAAATTTTTTATCAGTGGTGCTCTAATTATAACTGTTGCAAAATCACAAACTAGTAACCTGCTATTCTTTGCTAACAATGGGATTAATCATGTTTAAAGTCAAAGTTTACAGTGATAAACCTAAAGTTTGGTAACCCTTCATATATAAGCTACAAAAACATTTCAAAACAGAATTCTGTTGAACAGTGTTCAAGAAAAACAGTGAATTAGACTGTAACTGGATATAACCAGTATAGTTAAACTTTTTATGTCATGTATGTACTGCATAGATAATGCCATAACATCACATAAAGGGTCCTATAACACTGATACTTTCAGTTTTTTAGAGTTTGTTTTTTAAAAGTGCAGGATGGGCCAAAAAAAAAGAATAGAGCCTCAGAACAATTTTATACATTTTGTTTGATTTCATAAACAGGTAAAAGATGAAAGAATAGGTTCATTAGAGACAGAGAATGCTATGCTGTATCTGAAACTTGCTCAGTTAAGAGGGGCACTTCAACATACAAGACAAGAGTCAATTGAAATTCATGAAAAGTTTGAAGATGAGAGTCGATTTAGGAAATCAGTAGCTGAGTCAGCCTTCAAATTTAAGCAAGAACTTGATGTAAGTAGTAGATTTATATTTTATAGTTGTTTTTACTTCACTTTCAAAACATTTCATCAGTTTCAGAGAGTGACTGACCGCCCAAAATTTCTTATGAACAAATGAAATACTTGTTTAATCAATATTAATAAGTTATTTTCAGTACCTCCCTCAATGCTTCAGTGCAAAACAGGGTATATGGAAATATAAATAGTCTCATTTTAACATTTTTGACCTGAAAGATTTATATTTTCAACATGAGAATATTCAATAAAACAGAGATGAGATGTAAAAAATAAAACAGACAAAATCCAAACACATGCAGTGAAATCTTCTACTAGCATGACTAGGTCTAGAATAGTTGCTTCAGGATCTTCACCAATGAGATCACCTTGGATCACCACAGCTAAGAGTTGACAATAACATACTTTGAATTATACCTACATTGCAAATTATGTGTACGGGTGTGTGTGATTATGTATCTTAATAAAGGACAAAAACGGAAAAAAAAACAATAATTGTTACTCCAAATATTATTTATGAAGAAATATTTTCTTATTTACCATATATAATATAAAAATGTAAGATTGGTACTGAATAAACAAGAGGAGGGTGGTGCCTTAAATAGCCAGAGGTAATCCCTGCTCTAACATGTCATAAGACTGCAACCCACTGACACAATAAAAATAGACATAAGAGTTCAACATATGATCTACAACAATAGATACATTTATGTTTATATCAAACTCTAAATTATCACTAGTCTGGAAAAGTTGTGATTAAATTTTACAGAAACTATGTAACTGCATATCCCTGTAGAAAAAAAAGATAAAGTGGAATAATACTATAAAACTTTGTTTTTGAAACTCATGTACATGTATTGTAAATATATAATATATAATTGATAAATGTTTATCCCCTTCATTCAACAATGGACAGGGAAACTGTAATTGGAATAAAATTTTATATATATTTTTGAAGAATATTAAAAAAGATATGCAGTCAGTGCAGAGTGCTGCCAAAGAAATTCCTAAGCAATTTAATGAACAGGTTCAGCATGCCAACTCAGTGGTACAAAGACATAAAATGGCGTTTCAATCCCAGAGTTCTAGCCTGTCAGAGCTACAGGAACGATTGGCTCATATGGAGCTGACACTCCATGATGTTACAGATAGACATGCAAAAGAGAAAAAAAGAAGACAGGAACTTCATAACACACTCATGGTAATTTAAAGTTCACAAAATTTCTGAAATTTTACTCAGGCTAAAAACATGATAGCTGATTTTGGGTTTCTCTCCTGTCCTCACTTTTTAACCACTTACTAAAGAGATAATTTTTGTTTACTGTTTTTATTCATTTTTTAACAAGTATCTCCTTTATCAAAGATTAATTACCTTGGCCTTACAAAACAATATTGAAATTATTCTTAAAATATTTCCTTACTCATTGTACAATTGTCCATACCCTAAACCCTTTCCTTTGATATTTTTAATGATCTTGAAGATTTGTTGGATCACTTTTACCGTTTTAGTGATTCAATATTTTGGAAAAATATCTAGGAGTATGTGAACATACTGAATCACATTCATGCAACATTTAAAAAAAAAAAAAATTATTTGTGTGGTTCTGTCGCCGTCACGATTGCAACATTACAATTAATGAACTGTTTTAAATGGAGGAATTCAACATTTTAAATTCAAAAAATAGAAACAAAACAAAAGATGAACCAAACATAATAGGAAAATATGGGAGTTGTTAACTCACATTCAAATTTCAGGAGTTGTCTACCATGTGACAACTCATTGTCACACTTGACAGAATAATTTGGGGAATTAGCCTTTTTCTTCCCTCAGTAGGATAATTTTAGGTATAGTCTTTCAGGAGGTTTTGTCTGCATCAATAGCAAATTTTCTGGAAAAAAAAAAAATTCCAATTAATTTATAACCTTTACATAATCAAAATATGTATATATAATAATATGGCTTAGAAGCTTATACATATAATATACGGTGAAATAGGGTATACTATTTAATATGGTTTTTACTTTTTGTTACAGGAATTAAGAGGTAACATCAGAGTTCACTGTAGAGTAAGACCACTTATGGATTTTGATAGAGGTCAAGAGGATATGTCAAGTTTTGGAAGGTAACATAGAAGGTCATGAGTTTTTATTGATATGAAGTCAATAAAAGTTTAGATTTTCTCTTATACAAAGGGAAAAAGGGGTATATGTATCTTAACAGATGTCACCATTATACTAATGAATGCTTATATGCATCTGTTCATTTTTATAAGCCCGTTTACGGGACGTATTATGGTATACTTTTGTATGTCTGTCTGTCTGTCCGTCGTCAACATGTCGGACAATAACTCAAAAACACTTGAACCAATTTGCATGAAACGTTGGTGAATTGTTTATGTCTATTGACGTGAGCTCCCTTTCAATTTTTATAAATTTTTTATTTAAAATTTCCTAGTTATGGGGTTTTATTCATTAAAAAAGGGGGATTTTCCAGTTTTCGGACAATAACTCAAAAATGCTTTAAGCAGTTTTCATGAAACTTTATTGATTTGTTTATATCTATTGACGTGAGCTTCCTTTCAATTTTTATAAATTTTAGATTTTATGTTTCTGAGTTATGGGGTTTTATTCATTAAAAACAGGGAATTTTCCAATTTTCGTACAATAACCCAAAAGTTCTTTGAGGAGTTTTCATGAAACTTTGTTGACTGGTTTATATCATTAAAATAACCTCCCTTTAGTTTTTAATAAATTCCTGATATGACATTGAGGAGTTATGGAACTTTATTCTTTGAAAAAGCGACAGGTGTATCATGCACTCACAGTGATTTTGCTAGCGCTCGTCATTTTTGTCATTTGCGAAACGGTTTTCAAAATGACGAAAGTATTCCAAATCAATTTCGTCACTTAAATTTGGAAAGAGTAAAAATATTTTCGCATGAAAATACTATAATTCTACCTGTCTTATTGTTTCTGACAAGTTTATGACCCTCAGCTAATTAACATTTAAAACAGGTGTTATAAGTTGTGATTACAGATAATCCGCTTATCGCCATCGGATGGGTCACTAATCCGTTAATTATTTATCAACCTCATAATTGATCATCATAATTATTTTCCCCAGTAAAATCAGTCAGTCGGCATTTCAATTTCAATATTTATCAAACGAGAACAATTTGCAGTTTTTTGTCGTAGTTTCGTCATTTGAGTTTTTACTTCGGACAGTTTCAATATTTCTCAAACGATCACAATTTGCAGTTCGCTTGTCGTAGTTTCGTCAAATGAACGTATTTTCGTCATATTTGATATAACTTTTAATCAAAAACTTTCGACAATTTCGATTTAAAAGATAGAAGTTTATTCATAACATTCAGAAAGTCAAACAAGTGCTTCCTTTACGATGAACTGCGCATGCGCGAAAGTATTCTTATGAATTAAAGACACTAAAACGTAAAATACGAAATAATTAAGTATCAAACTAAACGAGACGAGAGAGACAAATATAGTTCTTATTTAGCAAATTTAATTTAAAAAATGATAATTTCCTGCCTTTTTTTAAACACGAACCAATCCGTAGATGAATCCGGATTCATTCTGAATTTATTATCCACTTGTCACTTCCCATTTTCATTTCATTTGGAAATCGAAAGTAAACGTGATCTATTCATGATAAATTGACAATTTAAAGTCATTAGAAATGTTCCAATCCAACTTTATAGAATTTATTCTAAATATCGCTTTAAAACGTTTTTAAGGATAATGAGTATGAATAATGCAGTGAAATAGCATGAAATAGTCCTTACAAGTTCATTTATGCTGTGATTCCTGGTTTAACAAAATGGATCCCAACTTTTGCTGATTAGGAATGTACCCTGAAACTAACTGAAGTGAAATTGTGAGCTAGATTTCTAGATCTTATATCCTAATCTTCGTATTAAAGTGCCACATCAGTCAAATCATGCAGTAACTGCCTAGTATGCCTAAGTCCATCAAAGTCTGACAAAGATGTATAGATAGTAATATATATCCTAATCTTCGTATTAAAGTGCCACATCAGTCAAATCATGCAGTAACTGCCTAGTATGCCCAAGTCCATCAAAGTCTGACAAAGATGTATAGATAGTAATATATATCCTAATCTTCGTATTAAAGTGCCACATCAGTCAAATCATGCAGTAACTGCCTAGTATGCCTAAGTACATCAAAGTCTGACAAAGATGTATAGATAGTAATATGCATCCTAGGTCCCTTGCTGCTATCCAAAATAAGGTTGATTGTCATCCCGCGCAAAAGTGACTAAAGCCCTCAAAATCCTAGCTTAAACCCTGCACTCATTGCGCAACTCTTTATTCCAACAGCCAACATTGTGACAAAAATAGAATTTAGCGATAACCTTGACAAAATATTTTCAAGACACTTTAAATGGCCAGTTCCCATTAAACTTTAAGAAATGGAACTTTTATTATAGAATTATGGTTGACACCAAACATGGCTCGAACCATTAGTTAAAATGAAATTAACCCCTACCCCAACCACCTCAAACATAATATAAAGTTAAAATATTCTGAATTCATTTTTTTCCCTCTTTTATGGTGGATGACCCCTTCCCTCCAATTAACACTGTTGCTACTGTTGTGAAAATAGAAATACAAACACCAAAAAATTATTTAAAAATAAAATAACTATGAAAAGGAACTGCTTCCGTACTTGACATCTTCTTCAAAAGATTTATGTTTTACTTTAGACCCCAGTCACCATGGAGCATATAAAAAAATAGGAATGTGATCCCAAAATATCAAATTGTCATTTATGCAGATTCATTATTACTTATGAATATGTAATTTCAGAAGAAAAAAATCGTGTTTGTCTTTGGCATGATTATGTATCTGTTATTTATTAATCTATTAATCAGAACTTTTCAGAGAAAAAAATCCTCAAGACTTGCATATTGATAGTAAAATAAAATGTTTTTGAAATTAGATTATTATTCTTTTCCAACATAATCACAGTATTTCTGAAATTTGTAGGCAAGGAGCAAAGTCAGAAGTTGTAGTACACTTTGTAGATGATGTAAGTATTAAAATTTAATACAGACTCTCCTATCTCATGTTTTGGAATTAAATTATTGATTATTTCTAATTTCTAATTTTACCACTTTGTTGGTCAAATGGTAGCTTGCTTGCTTGAGTTCAGGAGGTCCTATGTTCAATCACTTGCCAGATCAAACCAAAGACTTAAAAACTGGTATTTGCTGCTTCTCTTCTCAGCACACTGCATTTAGGAGTAAGAGCAAACTTTAAGACTGATTGGCTTGGAGAATAAAGTGTCCTGATAGGGAGACATGTCTTCCTGCAGACTGTTACCTAGTGAACAAGCAAATCATAAATCAGACTCTGGGTGTCTCTAGTACAAAACAGGGTTCCTATTCCTACCACATCAACTTATTCTCATCCTGATCTGTATGTAATATATGCCACTGGACTTTAAACACCAATCCATCCATCTACCGTATTAATTTTTTGACATTTTCTTTTTTGTTCCTTGATGTTTTTAGGGTTTTTTTCAATTAACTAGGCAAATTTATCAGGTTTTATTACCATTTAGGTGTATTGCTATTCCTTTATATATTTGCAGATTAATTGAAATAAAAAAATCTTATATTATAGGAAAATGTTTGTGTGAGAACAACAAAACATAACAAAGTGTTTGAATATGAAAGGTAAGAATTATGATTAATCCCAAACTGTGTTATTTATCGAAGCACATCTTTTCACTTTTATTTTTATTAGTTGTATATGAGGGAGTATTTTTTAAATAAAGTAATATCGTTTATTCATGTTGCATCAAAGATTGTTGTGACTGTTAAATTTTATGATTCAATCTTCTTATTTTGATATGGTATAATGATTTGTCCTTATAATTTGGGGTTGAAATAATTTGATTTATTCTTCTTACTAAAGTTAATTGAACATATATTGTAACATAAAGTATCAACTATTGTAATTGTAATATTCATAAGAGAACTGTTAAGGACTTATGATAATGAAGAAATCTAACATTGATGTTTTGTTGTTAAAATTTTGACAAATGATCAATGTTGATATGCACGCTTGAAATATATACAAAAAAGGTAACTTTACAACTTACTTTTCAAGATACATTGTATTTGCTTTTTGCATGTTTTGTTAAAAAAAAAATCATCTTTCAATACTTTTCTGAAAAAATAATACAGAAAAATATATTTTTATCCTTTTTAAAGTGGTTTTTAGTTTATAGTTATCAACAATTTAAATTTGGATGCATTATCCCTTGTTACTATATGCCCTTAACTGAATTAATTTTTAACATTTTAGAGTGTATGACATGACAGAAACACAAAATGGTTTGTTTGATGAAGTTCAACCAATGTTAACATCACTTCTTGATGGGTAAATATTCATCTTAGTTGATAATTCAAAAATGCATTGCATGTATGTACATTGTACACTTATCAGAATTACCTTTATTGACTTTCCAAAGTCTGCAGGTACCTGTGTGCTTTAGTGAGTACTCAACAATTAAATGAAGCAGAATTAAATGGTCAATCTCAAAAGTCACAGACATTCATTAACAATTACCATGAGTTCAACCAAGGTCCACTTCAAACTGATTTAGGATTCTCATGTTTTACACAAAAATAGAGTGAACATGGTGAAAGAGAATTTCATATATTTATTTTTTGTGCGTTTTTAAAGGAACTTCAAATAAATGTTTGAAAAGGTGGAATAAGATACATATGAAATCAAAGGAAAACTATAGATAGACTACTATGCATTTATTATTATTTCTCTAATTCTTCGTCAATTTATCACTTTCTGCACCCATTGAATAAAAAAACGTGTGGTTCGTTTGATCTCAGTTCTTCATTGGTTAAAATCCGATTATGACGTTGAATTATCTTGCTTTCTTCTGAATTTCCTATTGTGACGGCATGAAAAAAGGTGACCATGCCTGATGACGTCACATAGAAAGAACACATCTTTTTGCAGATCATTCGAAAAGAAGGAATAAGTTTGCCTGCATATTGTTTGAAAATCATTAGAGAAACAGATTCCACCACCAAATCTCTTGTAATACGATATTAATCCACTCTCGACAGTTAAATTTTAAATATTTAAAACGCTCGGCGAGCCTCGCGTTTGAAATTTGAAAATTTAACTGTCTCGAGTGGATAAATATCGTATCACACTCGATGCAGTGGTAGAATCTATATTTATATGATACTATTTTGAGTGGCGTTATTAAGCTGAGTCAAACCACAAAGATTTCATGACTACAAAATTAGGTATCTTGACATGAGAATTTGAAGTCATAAAACCAAACAATCAAATTTCTTTGAATTAACAATCAAGAAAATTGGTAACCAATAGCCATGAAATCAAACAAATTTAACAACATATCACAAGTAATAAACGTAAAAACATTTATATTAATTAGACTTATATTTATATGTAGATATAACATATGTATCATGGCCTATGGACAGACAGGTAGTGGAAAGACACATACTATGTTAGGATCTCACAAAAATGAAGATTACTGTCCTACACGAGATCCCCATCCTGATGAAGGAGTCATTCCTAGAGCAGCTAGAGAATTATTTAGGTAAGTTCGACTGAAGAGTTTTAAAAGTGTAACTAATGTTATTTTGAGTATAGGTTCATATGTCCTCATTTATGTTTTGAAAGTCTTTTAAGGTTTTTTGAGAGGGAAAATCTTTATTTTTTTTGCTTAATTACATATTCAACCATTCATTATTATTTCTTTATTTTTTTTGGTGAGGGGCATATTATCTTTTATATGATTCCTGACATAACATGCATATCTCTCCTTTTATTTCCAGACTGACATCAGAGAAACAGAAAGGAACACACACTGTGGAAGTCTCAGTGGTAGAAATATACAACAACGATATCCGTGACCTTCTGAGTCATGACCCAAACATCAAACATGATATCAATACTGGTCAAGATAACTCTATAAGTTTGCCTACTATTATATCTAAGTAAGAAAACCAGATTCATATTAGTAATGTAAGAATTAAATCCTGCAAATAGTAGATTTTTTTTTTTGCAGCATCAGCAGTAAACAGGTAGACATTGAGTGGAACTCCCCTTAATTACATAGCATTATAAAGTCAGGCCTGGTCAGGTCAAATTAATGAAGTGATACACCTGTAGTAAATACATTCAGATCATTAACTGTCTAAACAAAAAATAAGTGTTGAAATAACAAATACTGGGAAAAAAATTTACATTTGTTCTGGAAAGCACTTTTAATGTTACCTCGCCATGCATACACATATTTAATTGATTATTGCCTACAATTGATACAGCTACATTAAAAAAATCACCGCTGATCAAATTTTAATAGAAGTGCCTGCCGATCATCCAAACAATTAATTCTGAAAAAGCCCTTAGGTTAATCCAATAGAAAAGTTACCTGAATCAATCTTATTTACCCAGCTCTATGTTTTTTTTTTATTTCAGACAAGTAGATACAGTGTATGATGTTATGTGCTTAGTACAACATGGCCTGTGTACGAGAAGAGAATCTGCCACTTTGGTTCATGAACATTCAAGTAGATCACATCTTGTTGTAACCTTAACAGTCATTTCTCAGGCTCCAAGCTTCTTCTCTAAAAACTCAGTACCTGGAGATAGTAAGAACAAATTTACTGTTTATTTTACATTTTTTTGTTTTGATATGAAAACATGTAAAAAGAAATTCTTGATATTGGTCTCCCTTATTTTCTTTCATTTTATATTATCTCCTCCTTTTGTGCTTTTTTTGTATACAACTTTGAGTTTACAAATAAGACAATGCTATATAGTTTTTTAGTTCTTTAGATTTTCTCAGATCAGTTTTGGCATATAATGAATTTAATTTTGAAAAATTAATTTTACAGAATCCTTCAGACAAAATATATAAATTTTGTATGCATTGACTTTTATGCCCCTGCCGTATGCAACAGGGCATTAAGTGTTACCCTTGACCGCCCTTCCATCCGTCTTTCCGTCAGTAGCTCTTTCCGTCCGTCTATCCTTTTTTGTTTCTTTCAAAATTGCAAAGCTTGAGTGTGGGCATTCGTGTCCTGACACATTTTTTTCTAATTTTTATTTGAAAAGAAGTTATAATTTGTAGTGAATTGTTGTCCTTACAATTGTTTTAGAATTAATACATTTTTATGTCCCTGTGATATAAAGTTTAGTGATTTTTGTTTTATTTTCTTTTAATTGACCCCACTTTCATAAACAACAGTTAACTGTATATGGAACTTTCAGAACCATGTAGATTTTTGTATTATTTAACATTGACATATATTTACCTCTTGGTTACTTAAGAAGTTTGAAAGGAACAACAATAAATTGATCTACATAATGGAATAAATCTTAATTTTTTGCTGGGGAACCAAATGTTTACAATATATAATTTACGTTCTTGTTGAACTTTAACATCTCTGCTTTCTAGATCTAAACGTTTGCTGGACTTTATTCAAGCTACAGCAGAGGCATCATCTTTATCTAGGGTTAAGTCAAAATAACAAATTAAGAATGAAATAAATGTTTTATTTGCTCCTTTCATAACTGTTTCCTTGAATAAAAACATTCAAATTGAAATTTGCTTGCACAGAGCTCTTTTTGTCTTTAGGTTGATTGATTGATTGGTTGGTGTTTAACGCCACTTTCAGTTAATAGTTCTATTGTTCTATTTTGTGGCGGCCAGTTTTTATTGGTGGAGGAATCCAGAGTGCCCAGAGAGAACCACCTACCTTCGGTAGGAAAACTGACAATCCTAGTCAATTAAGATTGGAGTTGAGTGCACCTGCCCCATGTGGGATTCGAACTCACAACCCCAGTGTTGACTTGCTAGTGATACAGTAGTTCGACTACTTAGACCATTCTGACACCGAGACCCCTCTTTTTGTCTTTAGTAGAATCCATTTAAAAAAAATGAAATGATATAGACTAAACTTTTAGCATATTAATACTTGGATAATTTTGTTATCGAGTACTTAAACACTTGATTTAATGATGTGAACAAAAGCCCTTATTATTAAACTCTCAAAAATAAAAATCAATACAAATAGCTCAATTCAGAAATTCACTTTCTGTCCTTATATTATATTGTGCAGTCTCTCTCAGTGGTCTTGTAAATGATGTCTGAACTGACCTGAACATCCAAAATAACGATTTATCCCATTACGCAGAAGCATTCATGTATTGACCCATTAAACACCAACCCTAAATACCTCAATAAATATCAAACATGATTTCTAGAAATGTACATGTATTAAAAAATTTGATTTTTAAGTAGTATCATTCGTTTTTTCATAACAGAAACTACAGTCAAAATGTTGCAACGTATGTACCCATTGATTGAATGCTCCCTTTGGTTTGGCTATATGAGATTTTTATTGAATGATGTGTTATTTAGATTTTATTTCTGTGTTATTTTGTTTGTATATTTATGTGTTGAACCCATGCATGAAAGTTTCTCTTTGCTCATTGCCAAACAGTAGTCTTATATATCTATTGATGTGAAAGAAGTTCGAAGTGTGCATAAAATAATATTGTAGGGTTTCCTTTTTTCGTAGTAGTTAAGGTTTCCTAACAAAAAACATTTCTATGCAATACCATTTCTCCTTACTTTTGCCATTGCTTGCTTCTGTAGTGAAGTCTAGAAATTATTGCATGGTAGTTGGAATATGTTAAAAAATAAACAAATCTTGAGAAGAGACGCAAATCAATGTGAATCAAAAAGTTAAAAAGGCCAAATAAAGTACTTTTAAAGTTGAAGAGCATTCAAGACCCAATATTCCGAAAGGTTTTGCCAAATTAAACTTTGAAATGTTTCATGATTTACCAAAGTACTTTATATATACATGTATATTTGAAGAGTGTGTATTGGAGGTTGCTATACTTATCAATATGTTTGTTTGCCAATGTATGATTTTTCAGCAAAGACATATTTATAATTTTTACATGAATTTAGTTTTCAGGAAAACCCCAAGAAAATCTTATACAGAACGTCAACTTCTTGATATGATCCCTGCTGCGCTTCTACAAGGTTGATGACCGTTAGCCCTCCGTCTAACATATACTCTGAATTAGCTAATAGACCATGCATGCCTTTCCCAACCTGAAATAAATCATAGTAAAGTTTCAGACATTCAAAACTTATTAATTTTTTACCAATATGATAATTAATATTCCATTTGTAAATTACCAATTTTCAAAAATTTACAAAGGAAATAACACCTTCTTTATTTTTATACGCCTGTCAAAATTTTGATTTATAATTATTGCATAAAACCTCACACACACGACGATGGGCGTCTGTTTATTATGGATATGTCCTAAATAAGGAGCCTTTAAATTGTTTATGTTGTTGCCACATTTTCATGTGAATAACAAAAATGAATAGAAGGATATATGGGGTTAATGTTAATGAAGCAGCAACCAAACAATGCAATAAACAAGAAAAAGAATCTAGAGGTCAACATACAGTATTCATCAATATAAGTGTCTTACCATTGTGCCAAGCTCAAATTTACTCTGAGTCTAGAAGAGTCTAGTCTGTGCATAAGTAATAATTGTATCAGACCAATATCATTCATTGCTTTGCAGATGATATTTATAGATTATCGTTGGTTATCTCAACGAGGTTGATTTTCTCGCTTGAGCCGGTACGGCGAAAGCCAGAAAAGCAATCAAGTTGAGATGACCAATGATAATCTGTTTATCGCTATTTTACCTATGAAGACGTTGTTAATTTCCTTGACAACGGCACGTGTTCCCTTAGTTTCTAGCGATAATTTTCATATCACTCGACTCTGCTGAGAACGGAAATTATCAGTCAGCAAGATCAACGGAAAAATTCGTAAAATAGCGATAAATTTAAATATGAATTAAAAGAGATGTGAGCTGCGTCAGATAGAAATCGACCTTATAAAAGTGCACATAAACATGTACATGTGTAAGACTTTTACTGATTTTGGAACATTCAAATACGAAATATAAAATTAATTTTGGTTTGTTTTGATGGGTTCTTATATCTACTCAATTTTCAAACAGTTACATACTTTGCAGGGAGTTTTTTTCAACTAAAAAAAATGGTTAACACATTTATTGATATTCATTTATATTCATTTGCATAAGGTCGATTTCTATCCAACACAGCTCATGTGTATTATACATTAATGTGGCAGCAAGATCCAATGATAAAAATAACTAAAAGACATCTTGAGGTCAACATTCAAGCTTCAGCAATAGACAATCTGTATAATTTGTCAAGCCCTACTCTAAAAAAAAAGTTAATAAATTTAAGTGAGATAACCAAGATCTGCCTTAAATACCAAATATAACTAAACACAACCACTGACAATTTATATGAAACATTTTAGTATTACATTGTACTGTTTTTTTGGGGTTTCTATATCTTTGATATTTCCTCAACATTTTCCTTCCTATGAAAACTTATTAAGTTTTGTTTGACATACAGAATACATCCCTGAACATGTGCATTGTATCCCTCCATACAGAATACATCTCTGAACATGTGCATTGTATCCCTCCATACAGAATACATCTCTGAACATGTGCATTGTATCCCTCCATACAGAATACATCTCTGAACATGTGCATTGTATCCCTCCATACAGAATCATTGAAATAAATTTGCTGATTACCTAATTGATCAAATATTGTTACCACTTCTAGTTGCTTATTTAGCAATAAACTCATTTATCATGCAGCTTTATCACTCTGCTGAGTAGCACTGTAATTCTCATATTGCTGCTTTCTGATGTTAGGGTAGAACTCTGGAGCAGATGCAGGATTTTTATAAGAGGGCATAATTCCAGAAAACAAAATATACATTGGAAAAAAGATTTGTACACGCCCTCCCTAAATCTGCCACTGGAACTTATCAATGACATCATAATGTGAGAGCAGGACTTATCAGTGACGTCCCAATGTTAGAGCAGAACTTTTCAAGCTTACTTTCAATAAAATAACCAAGTGTTAGAAAAAATGTTTTAGGGAGGCACAAAATTAGGATGATAAACATATTATTAGATTTTCTGCGTATAAGTAATGTACAATATCTGATGCTCAAGACAATTTGAAGCTTTTTGCCTTGTTTTCTTCGCTCACTTGCCAAAGAGGTACACATTATGACACAGCTGATTTTTTATGATATCAGTGTTTAAAAAACCTAATAATCTATACTTAGAGAGCTGCCAAATATCCCATATTTCTCAATTTTTATATCGTATATCCCTTAAAATAATGTAAACTATCGTTAACCCCAAAAACAGAACTATCCTACATTCCAAAAACGCATGATTATCTCTTAAACCCCTTTAAATCAGTTAACATCCTAATTAACAATAACAAACAATCTAACTTATTGTTCCTACCTGAGAATTTATTTACTGTACCAGGTATGATTTTATTTGAAATTTTGGACATCAACTTAAAATAGTTTCTGATATAAAGAAGATGTGGTATGATTGCCAATGAGACAACGCTCCACCAGAGACTAAAAGAAGTAGAAGTTAGTTACTATAAGTTCTTCAACAACGAGCAACACCCATACAATGTAACAAGCTATAAAAGGCCCAGATGACAAATGTAAAAAAATTCAACATTGGACTAAAGGTGACTATACTTTTATTTTTTCAAATCTTCATTATAGACTTGAATGCTGTTTTTTTGAAAATTTATATGAAATTAAAACAAGTGACCACCACATTTTGCATGAAATGTATAAATTTCTAAAACACAGCATTCAATTCTATTTTTATATTTACAGATTCTTATACATGTACATGTATTTACATATTATTGAAATAAAAAAACAACAACTGTACGTTATTCTGTTTTTAATCTGAACTTTAAATGCAAAACTTTGGTAGAAACTATCTATTGAGATGAAGACCTTATCATTCCATGTGAAATCAATTATAATATGTCTAATAGCTGAAATTAGCATTTGATTTTCAAAGTAGATAGCTCATAACATATTTAGCAATTTTTTATCAATATTGTACAGGTATATCATAGGATAATTAATAATTTATGGTTATAGTTATTGATATCAATTATTCATATTTTAAGATATATTGTGAACTATTCTTTTCTAATGAATATAATTTTCTTTTTTTTTTTAAAGCATAATTGTTTGCATGTAGTACACAAACAATGCTAAATAAGAGTGTTGATTGATTAGGAAGGTGGAGCTAATAATTCTAAATTCTTTGGATGCATTGATTGCATTTATTTAAGGAATGACTGTAATATTTTTTCTGTTGATGAAGAAATAACATCAAAAATGTGGTGCACACTGTATAACCCATGTAGCATGTTATTTAACAGTGTGCACCACATTTTTAAAGTAATTTCGAATAGACAGAAAAAACTATTACAGTCATTCCTTATAATCTAATTCTAAATTTCATTTTTAAGGAGTAAATCATGAAAAAAACATTGATGACGTCAAGGTCACATAACAAAATTATGTTTATGAGCTGATAGACAAAAAACTTTGAGCCAATCAGAAGAAGTGTTACATCCAAAATTTAATTATACTGTTTTGATTGCTTTCATACGGAATGAAGTGATTCGTCTTTCAACCAATAATAGATCAGTATTTGAATGAATTGAACAATAGTATCTGTTTGTCTTGTCCTCTTTCAAACTATTCAGACCAATCATTGAATTATATAAGTTTTATTTACAGCGACACCTAGGGACAGTAAAGGGAGATCATCGTCTTTATCATCATCAGGATCAATGCCATCAGGATCCATGTGGCAATCTAATGACTTGAGTACTAATTCTGCTGGACAGGCCGTTATTAAAACAAAACTGCAGTTAGTAGACCTTGCTGGCAGTGAATGTGTTGGTAGGTTTTCGCTCAGAGATTTATGGATAGACAGTACTCATGATCAAATTTTGCAGTCACATGCCAAACAATCATTTTTTGAAAATTTTCATCATATTGTGCTCATTGAAGTTTTTTTAATGCAATATTTAGATATCTAAGAGGCGAAAGTAGCTTAAAAGTCTTTAAACCATTTGGACAACAATATATGGAATACATGTACCAGTATAGATAAGAAATTATGATATTTATACTTTACAAACTTCACAAAACAGTCAAAAATGGAAATCAAATGCTAGAGGAAAATTTCACCCTGTGAGATAATCATCTTAAAATGAATTTAATGTACCCATATTGCATGTAATTGTTAAAATTTCAGGCATGAGTGGTGTAAAGGGACAGGCATTACGAGAAACAGCAAATATTAACAAGAGTTTGTCTGCATTAGCTGATGTCTTAGGAGCTCTAGCTGAACACAGAGCACATGTACCCTACAGAAACACACGTCTTACACATTTGCTACAAGATTCCATTGGTAAGTGGTTTTGTCTGTACAATCAATAACACATTTACCATGAGGGGGAATGTTTTTCACATTTGTTTAAAGATTTTATTGGTAAGATAGTCTAGCAGGACGTAACTTGTGTACATTTAATTTGATATTAGGGTCAATTGAATGGGAGCTTTTGTGAATATGTATCACATGTACCTTACAGACGCACATGGCTAACACATCTGAATAGCCTTTGTGATTAAGTTCTTAGTAGTTGGTTTAAATATACTCTAAATGATTAAAAACTGACACATATGTCCTATACATTGTAAGCTAGTATATAACATAATCTATAAAATCCAGTAGTTGTGCAGTACAAATCACTGGGTATGTACTTGGACTGATAGATGTGTGCAGTATATATTCTTGTGATAAAAGGTCTTTTGTAAATGATCGAGAGATTACTTGTATAACTTTGTATTCTTTGTACTATTAACACAGTAAGTAAGTATGTTTTGTAAATAAAGGCCAAACATTGGTCTATCTTCAATAACAGTATGAACATATATAACAAATAGATAATGAACAACTGCAGAAACAATATATTGAACAAAACAATTATGAAAATTATTATTGATCAATGATACCAGTGTTGAGGCTTATAGAGTTATCTCCCTTTTTTTTTTTTTTTAATTATTTAAGAAAACACAAGATATCTCCCTTATTGCATATCAATGAAAATGTGTCCAAACTAAGTCATATCAAGTAAATAATTAATTTTAAGAGTTGAATTACAAATGGATTCATTACCCCTAAAATACATATTTTACAAATGTCTAACACATGCTATTGTTCAAAACATTGATAGCCTTCTTTATGTGAATTATTTAACTAACTGTCAGGATAATATTTTTTTCACAGGAGGAGATGCCAAGTTATTAATTCTGTTATGTGTAGCACCTGCCCAGAGATACATCACAGAGTCTCTACAGAGTTTAGGTTTTGGTGCTCGTGCTAGACAAGTACAAAGAGGTCAAACTAAACGTCGTCTGCCATCATCTGCAGAGAAAGTCAGTTTGGACACACCAAAAAATTCTAGATCTATCTCTGTTACAGGTCCTCCACCCTTTAGCCAAAGATGATTTTTATGATATTCTGTACAAACTTTCATATATATCTTAATAAGAGATCCCAGACATTCTGTTTAGAGACAGTTTATTTATCCTGACCTGACACAAATTTATCGCTTAAAATCTCTTAAAGTTAACAAAGGTATGGAATGATTTTCCACTTGACTACTTCTTGAATTGCTTTCTGTTATTATGCTTTTCCATCAGAAAGTTTTGTTGGTTTCTAATATGCATAATTGGCAATGAGAAATCATGTCATGACATTCCATGCCAAAATGTGTGTAAAATACCATTGTCATTTCTTATATGATGTGAATATCATCCAAAAGACCACTTTCGAGTTCATTGCATTTCCGTCAAAAACTTTGATTTTAGTGAACATCATTCTTGCGTTTAGGAGCATTGTCACTTCTTTCCCATGTTGAGTGAGCGGTTGAAAAAAATATGATGCTATATTGTAAGAATTATTAGGCAAATTAAATTCTTATAATTGATAATCAGCACTGCTGTCATTAGGGAATTGTGATTTAGTACCTACAGAATAAACACTATTTCTAGTTAATCCTGCATAATGACAATCACGAATACATTTGATGAACTTTAATAGTGCAGGGATACAGGTGGGCCCCTCTATCTGGTAAATGACGTCATGAGGGTGCACATAATTGACAAACTTTTCCGGTGAAGGACATTACTCGAAAGTGGTCTATTAAATTTAAGTACACTTTACTTAGTACTGTTAACTGTTAATATATTCAATACTTGCCTGTTTGGCTAATTTAGAACATCATAGCTTGAGGCATATTCACAACATTGTACAGTATTGGTTACATGCTTATGACAGCAGTTTCTTATGAAAACTTTTTTGCAAAAACGAGTTTCAAATAATTTTGAATTCTGTGTGAAAGTTGGCAACTATGTAGACAAAATATGGACTCCAATTTCAACATGGAGAAGTTTGTCAATGCAAAAGTGTCCTACAGTTAACATTTGAACAGAACAGAACAAAACTCCACTATTTTATACTAATTTAGTGAAATTGTGCAATTTAAAAAAAAAATTTTTATCAAAAAGATTTCTTATTTCTCATATCAAAACACGACTCTTTATAATAAAATAAATATATAAGGAGTTATCCTTATTGAATAAATACAATAGCTATTGTTCTCTGTGTAGTTTATTCTAATAAAATTTCTTCTAAGAGAAATCCATCACTCATTAATTTATTTACCGTAAGATAAAAAATTATCTTCTAAGGAGATAAAATACATGTATCAACTCTAAATAAACTCTAAAATTAAAGTAAACATTCAAAGAATTTATGCCATTCATTCTAATAAAAGTACTGGTATTGTTGAAAAGTTATTAATAAATAGGTGCTAACATATAATTATTTATCCAATTTAGTGATGCTAGTTGTCAAGATTACTTTTTATTTTCAATATTGAAAGTTCAATTTATACACATGTATGTATACAAATATAGAAACTAACATGTTATGATTTGTTATTTCACTTAAGTTTGAAACCCCATGTTGACTTTCACAACCCAATTTAAATGATGTTTTTAATAAACTTTATTTACAATTCCAAAGTGTTATCCGTCCAGTAGTTGTGCCCTTTATTATACTTGTAGTATTTATTTATTTGAGTATTGTTTTTGTTAGTTTTATATGGAAATTAACATATGTTAAATAAAAATATTACAAATGATCATGATGTTATTATTTTATATAATAGAAATTCATGGTAATCATGTTATATTTATTGTCTATATTTTTAATAAAAGGATATACAAAATTAATTCAATGATACAGCAACCCAACAAGGTAACTGTAACTAAACAAGAGGCTCTCAAGAGCCTGAATCACTCACCTGTAATTTTTTGCTTAAATCTTTCATCAATGATTATTTTTGCTTTTCAATATATATAATGCCATTTAAATGTTCTGAAATTGATTCAGCAGTTTCAAAGGAGAAGATTTTTTAAAGTAAGCAAACTAGATTAGATGAACAAATTGTGGAAAAATTGTCTTTAAAGGACAATAACTCCTTAAGGGGTCAATTGACAGTTTTGGTCATATTAAACTTATTTGTAGATCTTACTTTGCTGAACATTTTTGCTGTTTACAGTTTATCTTTATCTATAATAATATTCAAGATAATAACTGAAAACTGCAAAATTTCCTTAAAATCATCAATTCAGGGGCAATAACCTAAAAATCAGATACCTGATTGGCTGATAATTTCAGGGCAGGTAGACCTTGACCTATTGAATACTTCAACTTCTTGTCTGATTTGCTCTAAACGCTTAAGTTTTTGAGATATAAGTCAAAAACTACATTTTACCCCATGTTCTATTTTTAGCCATGGCGGCCATGTTTTCTGAGGAAACAGAAAATAAAACACAAACTTTATTCTAGATAACCTAAGAATCATTCAGCTTAAGTTTGGTTTAATTTGGTTTAGTAGTTTCAGGGAAGATTTTTTTAAGTTAGAAAACATGATAAACAAATTGTGTAAAATTGTCCTTAAAGGGTAATAACTCCCTAAGGGGTCAATTGACAATTTTGGTCATTAAACTTATTTGTAGATCTTACTTTGCTGAACATTTTTGCTGTTAACAGTTTATCTTTATCTATAATAATATTCAAGATAATAACCGAAAACTGCAAAATTTCCTTAAAATTACCAATTTAGTGGCAGCAACCCAACAATGGGTTGTTAGATTCATCTGAAAATTTCAGGGCTAATAGACCTTGACCTAATGAACATTTTTACCAATGTCAGATTTGCTCTAAATGCTTTAGTTTTTGAGATATAAGTCAAAAACTGCATTTTACCCCTATGTTCTATTTTTAGCCATGGCAGCCATGTTTTTTGACGAAACATAAAATAAAACACAAACTTTATTCTAGATACCCTAAGGATCATTCAGCTTAAGTTTGTTTGGAATTGGTTTAGTAGTTTCAGAGAAGAAGATTTTTTAAAGTTAGAAAACATGATAAATTGTGTAAAATTGTCCTTAAAGGGCAATAACTCCTTAAGGAGTCAATTGACAATTTTGGTCATATAAACTTATTTGTAGATCTTACTTTGTAAAAATGATCTGTAAAAGTTTGCTATATGGCCTTCACTGCTAAGTAAACATTAACACAATATGGTTTTAAATAACCTCAACTGTTCAAGGCATGATTATATAACATTCTAAAGAATTCAAAAAATTTCTCAAAATTTCAAACATGGCAATTATGTGTGAAAATATACAAGTATTCAATAAATAGTAAGTGGATGAGCAATGAATATGAAAATGCATCAAACCCTAAATATAAAAATAAGGAGATGTTGTATGACTGCCAAAAAGACAACTATCCACCCAAATTCAAATGAAGTGGATGTTAGCAATAATAGGAAACTAAAGATCTTTAACAATGAGAAACACCCATACCATACAGTCGGCTGTAAAAGGCCCCGATAATGAAAAATTTGAAACAATTCAATTGAGAAAACAAACAGCCTAATTTATAACGAAAATTTTTACGAAAAACAAATATGACAGACATAAACCAACAATAACCACTAAACTACAGGCCCCTGACTTGGGACAGGCACATAAAGAATGTGGCAGGGTTAATCATGTTTGAAGGGGCCAACCGTCCCCTAACCTGGGCAGTGGTGTAACGGCACAACAGAAGAACAAACTGCAAAACAATAAATGAAAAACAAATATGAGAAACAGCAAAAAACAACAACCACTCAATTTCAGGCTCTTGACTTGGGACAGGCACACATAGAATGTGTAAAGCCTGCCCACCTGAAGCTTGATACCAAATTTCAGGAAGGTCTGATTTGTAGTTCCCAAGAAAAATGTGACCAAAACCATATGGGACAGACAGACATAAACCAGTATACCCAAACTTTTGGAGCAAGGATATAAAAAATGCTGGACCTTCTAGATTCATACAAAACTAGTTGGAAAGAGCAAATCTTAGAGGATGGAACCAGTTTTGTAAGAATTTAACCCTCTCCTTCGCTGAACTAGTATACATTATTGTTTAGAGGCCAGCTAAAGCCCGCCTACGGTTGCAGGATTTTCTCGCTGGGTTGAAGACCCATTGGTGGCCTTGGGCTGTTTTCTGCTCTTTGGTTAGGTTGTTGTCTCATTTGACACATTCCCCGTTTCCATTCTCAATTTTATAGTATTCAGTATATTTCCAAATTTGAAACAAGCTTAAAGAAAAGTTCTCAATCTTACATATATATTTAATGCCCTGCCTATGATAGTAGAGGAGCATTATGTATTCCCATCTGTGTCTGTCTGTCTGTCCAGTATCAGGTTAAAGGTTTGGTTTAAGGTAGTTTGTAGTCACTTCAACTTGAAACTTAATGCACATATTCATTATGAAGTGAACTGTTTAATATATATGCCAAATTAGGACTTTGACTCAGATTTCGTGGGCTCAGTTTTGGTTTAATGTAGTTTGTGGTCGTATCAACCTCAAACTCATTACACATATTCATTATTAAGTGAACTGTTCAATCAATTTGCCAAATTAAGGGTTTGAGAAAAATTTAATGGGTTACTGAACATGTACATGTGATAGTACAAGAGGGGTATGGACGCATATTCTTTTTAATCCTTTGTTGGAAATATTAAGAACTAAGAACAAATATATTTACAAAATTTTGCAGTAAAAAATTTATTTTCAATGCAGAAAAAACATGTACAAGTATAATCATTGTTAGTTTGTTAGTAAAAAAATTAAACAATAAAAAAACATGATTTTCAAAAGCTAAGTATACATGGGTGAAACTTCATCAATACACCTTATCGCTATTTAGTCCAATCCTGAAAAAAAAACAGTCATTTAGACAACTTCCTGTTTGTGTCAAGTGATGCAAAATCAAAGGGAATCAGTAATGAGCTGAAGGAGGAAAAAGTTTTGAAAGTGAACATTTTGAAATTTTAACAGATTATGATCCAATTTTTTTTAATTACAAATTAAAGTCATAAAAATTCTCAGCTTGAAGTGTTTAAGATGATTAAACTTGAATCTTTGAAAAGTTTTATGCACAATACATTGTTTAAACAGGGCCCCAGATAGCTTCAACTGGTTTGTGACATATTGAAAAAGTTGTGTTATTTCACAACTTATCTGGATTGGACTAAATAGTGATAAGGTGTATTGCATTAAAAAATTATGTTATAGAACTGCTATTCATTTATGTGATAATTATAGGTAGCATTCAAATCTATATAGAAAATCACTGCATATAAAAGGCACTGAAAAATAATTAATCCCAATCAAATACAAATTTTAATTTGTTCTGTGTATAAGGGAGACCTCTAAAAATTACAAGAAAATTATGAACTGAAAATAAACTCTTCTTTTTATTAAGGTTATAAACATGCTATACTTGTCTATAAATCAGTGTGAGTTGTGTGTAAATGTAATTCATGTTATTGAACTAACATAACTGTGTAAAGTTTTATGAGGATTTGTGAAAGCATACTGCAATTATAATGAGACGGGAGAAATTGCCTAATTCTTTAAGGTTAAAGTCCTATAACTCGGAAATAACTAATCTGAAAATTTTCAAAGTTGAAAGGGAGCTGACTTTAATTACTTAAACATTGTCAAAATTTTGTATGTTATTCAGTGACAGCAAACTTGAGTTTTCACCAGATATGAATCAAAAAGGGGGTAAAAATGCATTCAATTTGCATTGAGATAAGCAAAGAAACATATGTAGACAATATTGTGAATTGTTATTTCTCTTTGTTTAGAATTTAGGTATAACAAATTCATACACCACACACTACATATCTTTCTTATAAGTATGGTAATACACACACATAAATATCATTTTGTAAATCTCAGTATATATCAATAAATTGCCCAGCATGGGATAGGATCTAAAGAATGTACACCCCAATAATGCTTAGTTCTTAATTAAAGTCCAATAACAATGGAATGCCAATTAAAAAAAAAAACTTGTCAAAATCAAAGGCAGTTTAAGACTTGCATACTCGTTTTATCATGAGATGTGCTCAAAAGGATAGAGGAACCAACAATAGTATACCATAATACAGCATCTTTACAGGGAGTATAAAAATACCTTCCTAATTTATTAGAAGCTCCATATAAATGTATGTCAAATAATGATACATGCAATTGTAACATAAAATAATGTCCCCGATGAAATATTGTCCGACGGACAAAATTTCATATAAAATATTGTCTGTGGACACTATTTCATAAAGAAATACTGCCAAGGACAATATTTCATTATGAAATAGTGTCCTTGTCCATGAAATTTAACACTGTGAAATACTGTCCCTGAAAATATTTTTTAATCTAATAATGTCTTCTGCCATGAAATTGTTAGTGTTTCTGGATTTTTTTTAAAATATTTTTCATGAAAAGTATGTGTATGACCATAAATTGCAGCAAAAATTAATTAAGGAGGTTTGTTTGTTATTATTAATCAAATAAAACACTTAAATGATATCATTATCCAAAGTATTAAATGTCTATAACCTCCCTTTCATGAGACAAACTTTCATGAGAATCCATCTATGACATATTGTCTCAATATACAACTTTGGATAGCCTCCCTTTAATAAAACAAAATTTCATACTATTCATCTATGAAATATTGTCGGTATATGGACAACATTTCATATGGAAATTGGTCCTTCTCTGGACATTATTTCAGATAGGGACAAAATTTCATGATACAAAGTCATGAAATATTGTCTGGTGGGACAATATTTGGCTTTACACATTGTCATGCTTATAGGCATACCCAATCATAATTCAAAGTATTAAAAATAACTAGGATATCGGTATCTGACAGTCCTCTCTCATTACAACTAATCACGGTCAAGCTGCTGACCAAATATGAAGTCATATTATTTAGAAGTACCAGTAGAACAGACCATAGGACAGGCGATTGTAAATGCAATATAGCCTACACTCCTGGATTGGGGGTATAATATAACAATAATGAGATCCAATTCAATTGAAAAAAAAATCAAAAAGTACATATCAAATCAACAATAACAAGTAAAAGAACTACATACATCAATAAAAATCATTAGGCAAGAATTCCACACAAAAATAAACATGAAAAATTCTCATTACAATAATATACAGTAAATGCTTTTTTTATACAAAAATAAACATAAAAAGGTAAGTAATTCAAAAGTTAGCAAGTTGAAAATAAAATAAAAAACTGTATTTGGTATAAGTCTCTTCATAAAAAGGCCATTTCTACTTTAAAAATCGAACAAAATAAGCATCATCTTGTATATAATATTTTCAATATCATTCAATACACATTATCTATGAAATGCTTACACAATTACAAAACAGACATATGAAAGACTAGGTATGAAACAAAGATTTGACCAGATGGCCACCTGCAGCCTCATTGTGAAAAGACAAGTCATTTGGAGCAAAAGGCAAACTCCATACATAAGTCATCAATATACAGTATACACTAATGTACCAAAAATCAGCTCCAGATCTGCAGACATTACAATAAAAAGTTCTGACAAGTATATTTTTCATTGAATTTTCTAAGTCAAAATGGTGTTACTCTGAAAAAATAGTCTGTCAACCAGAGAGAAATGTGGATGCAATCTGTAAGTCACCATTACACGCTGATGTATTGAAAATGAGCTACAGATCTCCAGGTATTACAAAAAAGTCTCAACAAGTACAGTTTTCATGAAATTTTCATTGTTAGAACCGGTAAGTCCACAAAAAAAATCTCAACAATATACAAATGCAAAAGCAATCTGTAAGTTATAATTATACACAAATACACCAAAAATCAAATCAATATCTACAGACATATTGATAAAAAAGTCTCAATCAACTGTTTGATTTTAGAATGTCACAAATACTGACATGGGTAACCCTACATACATAAAACATACTGCTTTCTTTTACTGACTTTTTTAAAATTATGAGACATGTAACAAATCTCTGCTGAAATCAAACTATTAATTTTTCAGAATTTGTATGAGTTGACTATAAAGTATTTTTCCAGCATCAATCCCCCAAGCAAAGTCCAAATGATTCCACTTTGGAATTTCTGTACTATTGTATCTGGTGTGTAGTTGAGATTTCAAGTATGACACATCCTGAAAAATTAGAGAAAAACAAAAATCAAGTTCTGGACATACTGATCATAAGGTGTATTGTCCTGCTTATTATACTGTAAATTCAGAAATTATTGCCAGGTTTTTATTTATGGGATTGAATGAGTATCGCAATATAAAGAACTCGCATTCTGATATCTGATTTATAATCTGTATGAATATTTTTCTGAAATCGCAATAATTAAACCTGCATTTTGGTGAATTCTTCAAAAATCGCAATTATAATGGAAGCAATAGTTTCTGAATTTACAGTATTACAAAAGAGCAAGTATACAAAATTCTGCAGCTGGTAAATAGTTGATTATGCGATTGTAGGGGGCATTATGTTTTCTGGTCCCTGCCAATGACAATCTGTTTTTACATCTTAATCGTATGGAGACATATTCTTGTTGTTTAAATGTTTTTGCTCTTTTTTATTTCACATTTAGCATGTCTGAGTAATCTCCTTTTCCATTCTTTCATGCAGCGTTTTTTTTCGCTGCATTGGTAGTTAATTAAACAGAATGACCCATTTCCAATATTATTGTGCAGCTATGAAAATGAAACTACCAAATACAAATGAAGATTAATTTTTCAGGAAGCTCCGTCCCAAATGGTATGATTTCCCACATTTGAATTCAGAAGTGGATTTATTTGTCTCTGCAATGATTACCATATTATGAAAATACTGATATTTTATTTCTGATTGGAAAGCAATGTAATGTCTTCAATTACATGTATGAGAATCTATAAAACCAAAACTTTGAGAAAGAGAAAGAGAGTGAAACTCAGTAAATTATGTTCTTTACTACATGGAGAAAGGGCAGTATATGCATCTGTACATGTAACCAAAGTGATAGAATAATTTTTACCTTTGGATCAGCCAACCAATCGTTCACTGCTGAATACAAAACTACAGGTGTCCTCATGTTACTCACATTATACTGAGGTGGTGTTGCCTTAAACAATATTAATAATATTTTATTCAAGAAATACATTTTAAATTTTATAAACAATGATAAAAAAAGAAAATACCGAAAAACTAACTAATTTTCAACAGGCGATTTATTTTCGGAGTACAAAAATAAATAGTGTGAATATGTAAAACTTGGATCTTTCCTTACATAACTATATCCAGTAAATTTGAAAATCGTGAAATTAATCACGGCAAAGTGATTTTCATTCAAGAGTTGAGAAAGTTGACGTTTGTAGAACAAAGCTTTACTTCTCTTACCTGCCCATAGTGCTGTTTGTTTCCACCAGTGCCATAATCATACTTCTGGTACTTTCCTGACTTTATTGCCTGAAATATGTTTATATATAATATTTATTAAGGATGAACAATCCATTTGATATACAAACACTAGGCTAAGTTGACATGAAAATATAATACGACTTCAGTCTTCAAATTTTGCTCAAATTGCTCTAAACATCAAGTTAAAAAAAAACCAACACTGTGAAGTTTGAGATATGACCAGAGTTTAAAAAGAATAACTAAACCAATAGTAAATTTGTAATTTTCAGACAACACTGACCAAGTAATATACAGAGAAAAGGGGCTATTCTACAAATGTATTTAGTATAATTGATGAGTTGCACTTAACAAGCACCTTAAGCAGTAATAATGCAAAGTTTATTTCTTTATGAGACAGTCATTGAAATGCTTTAGTCACCTTTTTAAATGAGACAGTCATTGAAACACTTTACTCATACCTGTGAATAATGTATCATATTTTTGACAGATGTTCCTGCAGGACTATGGCTTACATATACTGGTAGTCTGGACTGAAAAGTTACACAACAATGACAATGTAACAATATACACATATTTCAATTTCTTATTCAAAATTGTCATGCATGTTTTTAAAAACTATGTTTCAAGGACCCTTAATCACTCAATTGGTGAAAATACCAAATATGGACATAAGAAATCAAGATAAACAAATTATTTACACCCCTCCATCCTTCCAAAATGGCTCTCCCTTAGGCAGTCATTCATGGCAATTTGCTTGTAAATCTAATTGGCTGTTTACAGTTTTTCTCTATTTATTATTTCAATGGTTTGAAGATAATATCCCAAAACACTAAAAGTTCAACTTACTGATCATTATTGTTGTTTACAGTTCTGTCTATCTATTGAGGTTTTTAGGATTATAGGCAAAAGTGTTAAATTCAGTTTGATAAAAATAGACATTTACAGGCCATATCTCCTGTAAAGGGTCAATAATGGTTTCAGTCTGTACCTATTATGGTTTTAAATAAATATAAGACAATTATTTGCATTTTACCCTATTTTCTATATTTAAGTGTATGGCCATGCTGGTTGATGAATCAAAATAAAATCAACAAACTATAATATAGACACCCTAAGGAACACTCATATGAAATTCATTATAATGATTCAGTGGTTTGGGGAGAAAAGATCTTTGAAAAAATTTAAGAAAGCCAGTTGCCAAATGTTAGCAAAGGCTCATATTGACCTTTAGCCAGATGAGCTAAAAACAGCAGTGGGACATAGACAGCTTAATCTTCCAAGCATTTTATTTAGATCAATACTCATCTGGTCTGGTCTTTTTCTTGTGTTTAAAAAGCATAATACCAGAAACATTATACATGTATTAAAGACCTACCTACCAAAATGTAATGAAACCTTAGTTATTCATGTCGAATTTTAGTATCTATACCTGATTTAGATTTTTGTTATCATAACCACAGAGAAGAAATAATACATTGGTACAGATTGGTAGGGTCAATTTGTCTTTACAAGCTGTTAAAGCCATCAACTTGAAGAACCAATTAGAAGGCAGAAAATCCTTGTCTCCAAATACTTCAAAGTACACCTATAAAATAACAGTTTGTTTTTAAAATATGGCCATGCACAAGATGGTTTCAATTGTGTACTATTCAGGTATGGCAGCACATCTAACTACTTAAGATAAGAATTTTGAATGAAATATTATTTATAACTGAATTTGTGCTTAACATGAGCAACATGACAGGTTTCACTAGTGGGGCAGGATCTGCTTACTCCTCTGGAACACCTGAGATCACCACCATTTTTTGATGGGGGAAAGTGTTGCTCAGCCTTGAGTTTTCTATGCAGTTTTTTGTGATATGTTATTATTAGTTGTCTGTCGTCTTTTGCCAAGCAAGGCCTTGTCAGTTTCTCATCACCTTGTGAGTTAAAAATGGCCCTGTGGTATCTTCTGCTTCTTTTTCAAAGAATTATTTTACTGTTAAAGGCATAAGTCTACAAAACAATTTGTAAATTTAAGTCTTGAATGTCAAGTATTCAAATAAAATTATTTGTATTAAACTTATTTTCCTACCTGTTCAGGCCAATGAGCCAGTATCTTCAGTGGAGTTTTGGTATGTCCTAAATATGCTACTGGTGCTAATGCAATAAATAGCTTCACCTGAAAAAAAAATAAATACTGTAAATTCAGAAACTTTTGCAAGCATTTAGTATTGCCTTTATTAAACAATGGACAAAAAAGTGATTTTAGTTATTATAATTTCAAGAAACGCTGCAAACAATGCTATTTTCTATTTTTTGCAAAACATATCCTGTTGGAATTTTGCCCAATGATAAAAACATCGCATAAATTTATGAATTTACAGTATTATTTTATAATAGATCCAGGCAAGATGGAAGCTACCTAGACACAATATTGCTGAAAAGATTTAGACAGGATGAAAATGTGATTTTACATAAGATTGGGAACTACTGGTATGTGCTACAAGTGCCACCTTGTTTGACAGCAATTCAATATCAATAAATTAAAAAAAAGATCTTTTATAAAATGTCTTCCAATCCTCAATACCTTAAAATAACAAAACTTTTCCCTTAGTACTTTTAGTGGTGATTTTTTTTACACTAGCACATCAGACTCAAAGATAGCCACTAGGTGAAAGTTTTTCATCTAATTAGAAGCAAATATGGATTATTTGTAAAAGACCTTCCATAAATCAATCATATCAAGTTTGTCTAAATTTGGGAAACAAGTTTCATATTTTTGTGAAAAGTTTACTGATGACACTAAGTGAAATTAATCCTGTATGAAATATTCCACACAGAATCTACACGGAATATAGTAGGAATATTGCATTGAATTCCTATCAGAAAAGAGTGATATTCTAGTCAGACAGTATTAGGAATCCACACAGAAAATAGCCGAAAAATTTAAATTAGCAGGAATTTCTTAGTAGGAATATTGTATATTCCTACCAGGAATATTTAAATTAGCAAGAATAATTTGGCGGGAAAATAAAATTCCTACTAGAAAACCTGGTAGGAATTTTTCAAAATTCCACATTGAAAAAAACATTTTCTAGGAGAAATCTAAAAATATACAAAATGTAAGTGTATATTCACAAATACACAACTGGGTCAATCATTTAAGTTTGAATCTCAACAACAAAGAACAAAGGAAATGCATGGAATATATTCATTTAAAAAAAGTTGACCTTTGAAATGTACATGAGGAAGCTGTGATATATTCAAGCTAGAAATTGTGTTATATATGTAGATGGGCAAAAATGTTTATTAGATGAAATTAAAGAGTTATGAACAATTAATGAGTAAAATTATGCACTATTGTTGAATTAACTGATTACTAAATATATTGGCAAACAGATAAAAAATTTCATCTTAAAAGTATAAAAATTACCTTCAATCTGCATGAGCCATATTTTCTCATATTTCAATATAGTAGTTGTTTGACCCTTGCAGCATTGTGTTCCAACACAACTTTTCAATCTTCTACCCTCCAACTTTTGAATATCTGAACTGGAACTTGGTTGCATTTAACACAGCAAAATTTGTGTCATTAGCAAACAGGAATCCAGTTTAAGATAATTAAAAAGATTCCATGTAGAAAGATTTTCTAGTAGGAATAAATTAATTATGGTAGGAATCTTGTAGTAGGAAAATGAATAATCTAATCATATTTTCTGTCCAAATTCCCAATTAAGATTTTCAAAACAGAAAAAAATCCATACAGACTTTTAAAGTTCCAGCTAGATGGTAGGATTTTGCTAGTGAGAAAATAAAAAATCCAGTCAGAATTTTGTTCATTTTCCATGTCCGCCTACTTTCTATATAGAATCTTAGATTCTAGGTAGATTCCTACTACATTCCTACTAGATTATAGGTGGAATTCTACTACTTATTTCGTACGGGAGGCAATAATTCACATGACCCTTAAAGCTAGATCTGAACTAAAAATTTAAAGGCCATTTAGCATATTGATTGTCTCCAAAGGCTCTAAGTAATCTATTATAGGGTTGACTTTTAGGCTTAAATCTGCTGGTTAAAATTCCTTCTCTGAGCAGTGATGTACATGTACATTAAATTGGTGTTACATAATTATACTTCATTTCCTTGACTGATTTTTTGCTTTTTTTTATTTATTGCTTACCTTTTTAGCAACTTGTTGATTCTGTGAAAATGCTGAGAAACCAATGAGAGTGCCTTGGGAATGTCCAATGTAATACAATTGTTGTTGGCCTGTTGTATTTATGATGTAATCAATCACTGCTGGAATATCATATTGGGCCATTTCATCCCAACTGAAAAGATTTTTTAAATTAATAACTTTTTTTCATTTTTGAGTGAAAGTGCAGTATACATTTGTAATTATTTACAGTTCATTTTTGTACTTTGATACTCAATAATCAGGTGAAGTTTATGTAATTGGTTGGTATTTCAGATTTTATGAAATTTCAATGTATACATTTAGAGCTTATTTAACTACATCAGAATATTGAAAAAATACTATATGTATCATTTATTTTTCTAGAGATGCTATCAATTAAAAATGTGTGAAATAGATCTATAAATGCATAGAACGTGTAAAAAGTGATGTAATTTTGCATTTTTTTCTCACTTTTAAAAAATGATTTCTCCAAAAACCTGAACACAATATTTTACTCAAAATTAATGATATATTATTACTAAGAACATTTCTGTATTAATACAATATGATTCTACACCCTAAATATAGTTGACCTTTTAGTTAAAGTAACAGAAAACTGACCTAATCTCAAAAACTTAATGTGGATCAAAGAAACATGAAAATGAGGTCATTATCGTCCCTATGTATTGCATTCTTTGACACTTGTCATAGGTGAGACAAACACTTGTACTTTTATAGTTTTAATGATTTAACAACTCTACAGTTGATTTACCTCCAATCCCAAAACTTGGGATTTTTTGGAGATAGTGTCTTGTGTCTTCTGGAATAGGTGTTTCCACGAGAGTTTCCCAACCAAACATCAAATCCAGCATCTGCTAGCAGAAAAGCTGAAAATATGTAACATTTCTACAAATGAGTTGAAGAATAAAAAAAATTTTAAAAAGTGACATTTTATTTTACGAGGAGATATACAAATTACCTAGTATATGAGCAATTCATATTGATATGTTGAGATTACTTAAATAAATTAAATGAAATTGAACCTTAAGCATTTAAATGTGAGCTTAAGATACACCCTTCTTAAGCATAATTTAAATTTGAGGCAAGAATAAAATGAAATATCATAGAAGGTATTAAATTAGAAGTCAGTAAAATAGCCCTGCAGAAAAAAATTGCAGGTGGATATCCCTAGGTGTATAAAAATAGCCTTAAATTTTACCTTTCCAGTCCTATGATTTGAAAAGAAAAAAATTTTGTTTTTAAATCAAAAGGGAGTTTTCTTCCACCAACCTAAACAACTGTATACTTAAGGCTAAGCTAGTCCATGACATAAGAAAAATGTCTTAAATCTGATGGTTATAAAGAGTCTGAAATGACAAAGACGAAAACTTTCAAAATCAAAGTCTGGACAACTGTTTGATATCAGAATGACAGAATGAGAGAAGAACAGAAAGACTCAAGGACAGTCATGAGTAACACTATAATGAAAATGGATGAAAAAAGGGATCTTTGCTATGACTTAAATGAAACAAAGAAAAAATGGAAGTACCTAAGCTGTCTTTTACAATATTTGTAACCCACAACGTAGAGTCACAAAGCAGTCCATGTTGTAAATACACTACAGGCCGTGGTCCATTCCCTTCTAGACCATGGACGCCATGTGGTATTCTCTGTATCCCCAGAATGAAGTCATCAGATGTGGTTACTGTGTGATCTTCACAAGGGTAGCCTTTACTTGTGATCAGCTGTGTCTGAAATAAACAGTCCTCAAAATACAGCTTTCTATATCCACTCTATGGATCCAGAGAGGTAATTTTTCCCATTTATACACTATTTTGTTCTGTCTATATTTGCATCAAAGTTAAAAAAAAATATACATAACATATATATATGACCAACTAATCAGTTTTTGAATTTAATCAACTTTACAGATAGTTGTTTTGAGTTACATGTAGTCTTGCAACATTATTAAATGATTGATGTCATATTGTTATTGAGCGGTATATTATCTGTAAACTGCCATCTTGGATTGTAAATTAGCAGTACACAAATGGTCTAGATTTTTCCTAAATCTGCAAGTTTTGAGACAGATGGCAATTAGTATACACATGTAAGACTGTTCATTTAAATAAGAAAAATAAGTGATTTATATTGCATTATTTAGACTTTTTTAACAAATACAAAAATGTTCCAAATATTTGTTTTTGTTCAATTCAATTTTTGAACATAGCCATAAAAGGGGAGATAACTCTTATAGTAAAAATTTTATAACAGAATGATAATGACATTTTTCTTTTTTTCTTTCAGGAAGAAAACAATTTATTTATTTTCTTAAAGCATAATTATTACAAAACCTATCTTCTCATATTTTAATTCAAAATTCTATCTCATATAAGCAAGGATTTGTATACTTATCTATACAATGCAAATCCTTGCTCATACTCATAGATTTCTTTATATTTACAAAAAAGTGTTTATCAATAATCTAAGCAAAATATTGGGCAGTTATGCTCAACTTGTAGCTTGAAAAATTTCATGGTGACCCATTATTTTGGTTATACTTTTGAAAAAAGCATGGTCATGGTAAAATCTACATTTCGGCAAAGTATACGAGAATTCAACTGAGGAATAGTGATGATCGGTAGGTCTTTTCACCACCGAACACCACCGAATACATTAAAATACCATCTAACACACCTAAATATATTGTTTTCATCTTTATTTATATATTTGACTTAACTTCTGAACGAGGATGAATATGTTTATACATATATATATACACAAATTAATCAGAAATGATAACAAGAGAACCAAAAAGAACAGTCTTGCAGGGCTGTTGTCAGAACAGTACACTTTCAAGTCGAACATTTTTTAAATATAATTATTGTGATAATTTCACATTAAATAAAATGTTTTAACTTATTTGAACGATTTATTTCTAGTAATTGAAAAGTAAAGACCATAAGATAATTGTATGATACAATGAAATACAGACAATGTAAATCCGGAAAAAATATTGCCGGATCCGGAAGCGTTTTTTTTTTTATTTTGATTCTCAACTTTAACATCACTAATGGCCTAATGCACATAAAAATGTGAAAAAACATGACAATAGGATTATATTTTACGTAATTTAATCGATTTTAATGTTTTATTGTGTAAAATTACTGTTTTTCTTAAGGGTTAGTGGTCTTTTTGGGTGTTCGGTGGTGAAAAGACCCACCCTAGTGATGATCCACCTTAAATAAGTTACTATGCCACAAATGTGCAATATTTTTAAAGTGTTAAAAGAATTCTTTTTTTGAATGTAAACAAAAATCTTGTTACAAAAATTCTTACAATGTTGCGAAAAACGTCAGGATCAACTGCATGACAGTGTACTACTTGAATGAAGACAGCAAAACAAATAACGCAAAAATTGCCAACTTTAAGATTCATAATGTGTGGTGTAGCTGTTATCTTCTTTTCCAAACATTTCCGCATTCAGCATTCATTTCCGATTTCTCTTTTTGCAGACAACCCAAGGGAGATAATCGTAAACTGAATAAAAGAATAAATCAGAATCGGAATTTATCGGTTGAATATCCGTAATTTATTAAGAAGGAGCGAAATCACAAAAAAATACAAATATAAAAAGATTAACACAAAGTAACAATATCTAGTTTGTTTACTCCATTCATAATTATAGATGATTTTGATGTTAAGAAAATGATATGTAGTACAGTCATGACAGTTGTGGACAAAATATCATTCTGTGAAACTAATGAACAATATTAAACCAATTCTACATATTACCACTAACTTAAACATGATTAATTTCTGTATTGAAACATGTTCTTTTTCAGATCAGCTAACCTGAGGCACATGTTACACCAATGATTAAAAAGAGTGATTATTTCCTGAATAATAACCATAGACCTGTAAGAATTTTCCCTAATCCCTCTGAAATATTTGAAGAAATACTACCAGAGCAGTTATATCAGAGTTCTTCGAAAATATCTTTGATATATTTTTATTTGCATCCAGGAAAGAATATGGCTGTCAAACAACGTTATACAAACTCTTAAAGATTGGAAACTTGCTTGAGAACGCAAGGGGACGACCATCTGTAGGAGGGCATCACAGCAATTAAATGTTTTAAAACGTTTGGGCTCAGTTTTGGATAGACTTAGTAAACTTACTATTTTTCATACCTTTATTCTTAGTAATTTTAATTTTTGTCCTTTGGCATGGCATTTTTGCACTGAGAAAAATTCCAAAAAATTAGAAAAGGTGCAGGAAAGAGTACTCCGTTTTGTATATGAGGATTTTACCAGCCCCTACGAGGACCTCTTACTTAAAGCTAAGGTGCCCTCCTTGCAGATTAGAGGGATTAGAACAATGGCTCTAGAAACTTTTAAGATTATAAATAATATAGCTCCTGTGTGCTTACAAAATTTGGTGAGTGTCAAAAAATCTAAGTATTCTTTCAGGTATGTAAATATTCTGGATGTTCCACAGGTAAAGTCAAATCGTTACGGTAAAAAATCTTTCAAATTTGCTGCCGCTACTTTATGGAACAGCCTTCCAAACCATTTCAGGACTGAAAATAGTTTTTCACATTTTAAAAGTCTTGTTCAGTCCTGGAACGGTTTGGAATGTCGCTGTTCTGCTTGCAGATAATTCTTGAGATGTTTATTATTTATGTTGCTTTTGGTTGCTCTGGTCTAGCATGTTTTATTTCATTTTAAATTTGTTGCTAAATTTTTATTGCATGCTATGTAAGTGAGATTTAACTTCGTATAACAGGTAGTTTTATATGTCAAATTATACTGTTTTTATGTTATGTATATGTTTTTATATTCGGTCAAAAGCTCCTAATAGCTTGTGTTGTGTCTTTTAACTTATGCCGAATCAAAATAAAGTTTTCTTATCTTATCTTATCTTATCTTATCTTACCATTTGATTTTCAGGAGGATTATCCTGGCCTGGTAAGAGCTGAAAATGTGGACAAAATGAACATACGTAGCATACAGATGAAAATGAATAGTCATTCTGCAAAAAAAAAATAATAATCTCCTGGTCGTTCCCTAATAAATCATGATTTGGCTGCTTTTCCCATTGATCTGTACAAAGCGTTTGACTGCTTAAAATTGATTGTTAATTTTTCTTGTTACATTTGTCTTTGTTGATATTTCATATTTTGGTATGCACATTAATGTGATTACATAATAAAACAGCTGTTGCATTCGTCTGGGTTTTTTGTTGTTTAGGGGATTCAATATTTAATTTTAACGTCTCATTTTTTTTTGTACAAAGATGTACATATTACATATAACTTATTTAAACTTTAAAATACAAAAGCCACCCAATACAGAGTTATGAGAGACTATAAAAGCTAGACAGGATACACAAAAGACAAATCCCATGTACTTTTAGACTGTCAGCTTTATCAGTACTTAAGAAAAGCTTTGTTTAACGAAGTTTAAATTTTGAACCAGAGTTTTATGAATTTTGATAATTGTCAAACAATTATATTTTTATTTTCAATTCGTTTTGGGTCCTGTTTTAGCTCCTCACGTTTTCAGATTTTATACATCTTTGGGTTTTGAACTTTCCTGGTGAAGGTAAATCCAGAAAAGCGCTTCGGACGCACAAAATTATATAAGTGTTATTTTCATTAAAAATACAAACAATAAGGTTTCAAATCAAATCTTGGCTTTGTTTCTATGAAAGAATTTATAGTACAAGTTTCCAGTAATTTGTGATAAAGAAATCCCTAACTTAATAATTTACCAATTATACAAAGACTACGTTCATTGAAATCTAAAACGTCACGATTGAGACGAACATAGAGAATGACTTGGACAATGTACATACCAAAGGAACAATCAACGTTCAAAATGGAAAATCAACAATAGGGAACGAAAAATCGTCTCTTCATCGTAAATGTTTGTACAGAGTTTTCCGTGGAACTGAAATATCCAAATCTAAAAAAATAAAAGACATTTATTGCTTTTAACATTAGATTTAGAAAGTCTTCCCTTGAATAAATTTCCGCAGTATAATTAGAAAGTTTTTTTTTATTTAAAGCAAATATATCAACAAGGTAATGGTAAGTGTTATCAAGTTTATCTATGGAAATTAGATGGATCTTTCCTGAGTTTGATTATAAACTGTGATTCAAAACAATACAAGAACAAGTCTGCTATGTAAAGGGTGTAATTGGTTCCCATAGGAATACCTACAAAAAGTCGATAAACTTTATTGCCGAAACGTACACACAAAGATGTTGTAAAGTAGGTCATTTCATATTTAATCATCTCATCACAGTTCCAGTAAGTATATCTAGCATATTTGCCTTTCCCATTACTAAAGAAGTCCTTACATGAGTTGCAGCAAATGCATATGCAATCAAATTTTTCAAAGGACCATTTAATCGAATAAAAAAAAATGTGTTTGATAAGGTTGTGAGAAAGTGTAGTGTAAAGAGTCGAAAAGTCATAACTGTCAACTGAATCGAACAGACCATCAAAGCACGTTAATTTGTCCAAAACATCTATAAAGAGTTTTATACATTCCAAAAATAATTAATTTCATCATTTTCATATGCTTTGTTGCAAAAGTATATAACAAGTTCTTTATAATTGTAGTAAAGAAGCTAGTTAAAAGCCCAGAAATTTATTTGTAGAACCCTTATTAGAAGCCGATTTGGCGGGTTTTTTTTGTGTAGTCTAGGCAGTCAATATATAGAAGAGACCTTCAAATGTTCAGCGGAGGCCTTAAGCTGAGATGTGGTAATGGCATGATTGTTCTGTGGAAGAGTCACTGAAAGTAGAAGAATTTATGCTTTCATTCTGTAGAACTTCCGTGTAGCTTTTTGCGAGTACTTGATTTTTTTTTTAAATAACAGGAATGGGCATATTACTTACTCTTTAATCTATTGATTTCTAAATTATTTCCTAGATGTGATATGCAAATATGCACAATATTCTGACATTTATTTAAATTGGAATCAAATGACTTTTGTCAGATATATATATGTTACAGGCATTTTCTAAATTAAGTCATTTTGTAAAATGCCTAAAAACTTTAGGCATTTTCTAAAATGTCTGTAAGATTCAGGCATTTTATATATTGCCTATTTTTCAAGGCATTTTACATTTACTGAATGCAAACAAACAGCAATCAGTCAATTAAAACCAAACTTTATTATTATTCATGTTTCACTTCTATTTTGAATCTAGATTTTCTTAAAATTCGTTTGTAAATTTTGTTTTATTGAAAGAATAATTTGTCCTTCTGTCATTTTGACAAAATAATTTGGAGTTTAGTATGACGTCCATTATCACTGAACTAGTATACATATTTGTTTAGGGGCCAGCTGAAGGACGCCTCCGGGTGCGGGAGTTTCTCGCTGCATTGAAGACCCATTGGTGGCCTTCGGCTGTTGTCTGCTCTATGGTCGGGTTGTTGTCTCTTTGACACATTCCCCATTTCCATTCTTAATTTTACTATCTGAAAAACAGAGTGAGTACATACTTAACGTAGTTTCACTGAAAAGAACATATCATAGACATACAAACTTTCACAGCTGGTTTTTGAAGATTAAATTAATTTTACCGACTCATTAGTTATTTTCTTTGTAAGATGTTGTGTTTTGTCCACTTTTTGTCATATGAATCTCAATGATATCCTTAATCTATAAATTACCTGAAACTAAACAGGCTATTTTTTTAATTTTGTTCAAAATTTCAGTCATTTTACAAAAAGACCAGGTATTTTTAGTCATTTTATATAATGCCTGTCAAGGTTAGGCATTTTATAAATTGCCTGAAAATTCATTCATTTTACAAAATGCCTAAATTTAGAAAATGCCTCAAACATATACATATCCCATTAACACCAATGTTTACACATTAGAACGAACTACGACGAGCATCTTTAATGACAAAATGACACTCTTTCCAATTCATTTTCAATGTAAAACGATATTTTGGTACTTTTTTAGAAAGTTTATAACCTCTCGGTATGATATATGTTGTGGTCCCTGTAATAACATGGGTCATATGGAGCATATCTAAACTTCGATTTTTCACAGTCTCTTGTTGAAGGGGCATTATTTTCTATACTAACCAGGTGAGCTTAAAAGTGAGCAAATAACGTAATGAATTTTATCTCCATGCTATGTGATTTTTTAAAATTATTGGACGCTTTATGTTACATGAGCAACGCGAAGAGTGCCTGCCACATGTGGCCAGCAGGACCTGCTTACCCTTCCGGCGCACTTGTTTTCGACTAATAAGTTTGAATGTTTCTTTAACATCTTTTGCCTCTCTTTTACATGCATGCTTTGGTCGATTCTAATGTTTCCGAGATTAAAGCAATAAACACATAAAATAGTTATTATTTATGAAATTATAGATTGATCCATCAAATCGCAATTCAATGAAAACAAACGAAATTACCAAAGAAAAAGAGAAAAACGACGTTGATATAAATTTGATTTTTCCAACTCTTTAAATTGTTATTTATAAGATCTAAAATGATATTATTTGTTTGATGTTACATTCCTTACCAATTGTTTGAAAACTTTTGCTGAACAGTGTCAATATAGAGAAGATGAGAGGTGGTAATTATCTTTGTTCCAGATCAAGTCTATTTATCAGAACTGTTGTTTTTTATATATTAATTTGACAGTTAAATGTCTGTGTTACTGTCCCAAAAGCGGATTTATTACTTGTACTTGTATGAATATCTTACAGCTGGCACAATATTTTTGTACTCATTTTGTACTTAATTTAATATCTACTTAATACTGTAGACATTTCTGCTGTCATCAAATTGATTTTTATATATTTAAAAAATCAAATCCAATCATATTCTCAAAGGACCAGTTGTTTATAAATTTTATTAGACCAGTTGTTTCATAAGTTTTGCTGAAGTTTGATACAGAATGCGTTCTGGATATTCTTTTTTGAGGATTACATTTGGTATTCTTTGCATTGTTAGCGTTACGAGTAAGTAGATCATCACCAGGAGTGACAACATACGCCCTTCGTTTGCATTTTGAAATTATAAAACAGAAGGTATAAAATTAGAATTCAGTAAATTGAACCTGTAGAAGGAAAAATTCCCTTCTTGTGTGGACCGTTTGTATAAAGTCCTCAGGATTTATGTTTTTTAAGATTCAGATTCAAATTTTTGTTTTACGCAACTGATCAATTCAAACTCAGGTCTGTCTTCAATAACCCATTTTGTAAAACAGACCAATTTGCTAACATTATCTCCATAAGCGGAATATGTTCAAGAAACATATGACAACGTTCAGTACTTTATGATATTTATTTTTTTTTCAACTTCTCTTTACCTCGGCAGTAGTTTCATAAGAAACACTCTGAAAATTGAGGTTTGCAAATAAATTAAGTTTCTCTGTATATACAATGTATATTTTTTCCAAATTTGATTTTGATCTCTAAGTTTCGATATTAAGCTAGAAAAACTGCAAGGATAGCATGATTCACAGACTTTTTATTTAACTGTTAATCTAAGTATGCTTTCTTAATCTTTCGATCAGTTTACTTGATGTCTGGAGCTGGCATGCATGTCAATAACTGCTAGTAGTCCTTTGTTAATTTATGTTGATTATTGTCATCTTGCTTAGTTTCTTCTGTTACCTATTCTAAAATCGAACTCGGCCTTTTTTAGACTGGGTTTTACTGTGCGTGTTACTGTGTGTTTGTTTATATTCCACATTTGCTAGAGGTATAGGGGAAGGGTCGAGATCTCACAAAACATGTTTAACCCCGCCTCATTTATGTGCCTGTCCCAAGTCAGGAACATCTAGCCTTTGTTAGTTTTGTGTGTTTTGTTATTATAATTTTAGTTCATTTATATGTTTCGGAGTTTAGTGTGACATCCATTTCGTTGAACTAGTATATATTATTGTTTAGGGGCCAGCTGAAGCCCACCCACGGATGCGGGATTTTCTCGCGAAGTTGAAGACCCATTGGTGGCTTTTTGCTGTTTTCTGCTCTTTGGTCGGGTTGTTGTCTCTTTGGCACACTTCCCGTTTCCATTCTTAATTCTGTTTGTTGCATATTTGTATAAATAAAAAATCTGTATAATAATGTATTCACAGAGTAATGTTATTTTTATCAATTGCAGTATTCATTTAATTTAGAACCTTGTAATCCAAAGAATAATGCGTTTTCCTTGTATCTATTTTTTCGCCTATAAAGAGACCTGATATTCTATTAAAGGGGAATTAGCTACGAGATATAAAAAAGAATAGAATATGATGTTTTGTTCAATCATTAATGAAAGTGAAATAGTGAAATAATAATTCGTTTGTAGCAGCCAGTTTGATTCAATTTTGTCAAAATAAGGTAAGGAACATCCCTGATAAATTATTCAGCATTTCGTCAGTATTTTAGTCTAGACGCCATCTAGTTAACCATCGAGATATCCTCGAAGACTGAGTCGACGGTCATATAACCCGATATAAAAACAAATATAGATATAGATAGATAGCGACCACGCGCAATTGGATTTTTCTAGGTCTGTTTGATTTCATGTTATAGGTTAAAACATGTGTTAATCATTGTTTTTACCTGCACAAGAATGATTTTATGTGGATCGAATCGGTCAACAAAATGGTTCATCCTTGTTTCACTTTCACTGTTGACATTCTTTTCCTTATAATAGCCGAACACGCCTAGGACATGCGTAACTCATCTCTAGGTAAGGGGTTAAATTGAAGGTCACATGAATACAGATTGATATGAATTAAAAACACACTCAAAAATACGCATTGAATATTTTATAATAATTTTAAACATATCTATAACATCAAACTGTTATTCAATGCTATAGTCATCGTTTTTGAAGACAGTTTTGATAAACAATCGAAAATTATATTTATTTTTCGTAAAATGTTGCATTGAAGGACCTTTACCAAAATAAAAAAATAAAATGATTTCGGACCAATAATTTCGAGCGTATAAAAAACCTTTTCGTTCTATAAATGGTAACAACCGACAGTATGTGTTCCGATTATTTAGAAAACGCAGTACAATCTAGCATTTGGCCTGTTGTTCGTAATTTGTAATTTTGCGATTCACGTCAAAGAGAAAGTTATAAAGTGCACAGAAAAAGTCCGGAGTTGTTCATATTAATTGGTGTTGACTGATATTGTTAGACAAATTATACAGAAGAAAAGACTGAGCCAAACAAAAACACGAATTTCAGTGCATTTTTATTGAACAGCTAATTTAAAGTCGGCTAATTTTGCAAATTACAGTAGAAAATCATAAATTAACGTCTAACATAAATATAAGAAGATATGATTACCAATGAGACAACTCTCCACAAGAGACCAAACGACACAGAAATCAACAACTATAGGTCACCGTACGGCCTTCAACAATGACTAAAACTAATACCGCATAGTCATCTATAAAAGACCCCGAAATGACAAACGTAAACAATTCAAACGAAAAACTAATGGCCTGATGAACGAAAAACAAATATTATATACAGCAACAAACGACAACCACTAAGGCTGAAATAATTTTTCTCGTATCAATTACTAGTAACATCAATAAAAAGTATATTTTTATATTTTTGATAAAAATTATTTCACATCAATCAAAATAAATTGTTCATTTACACAAATTGTAGGCAACAAAAAAGTATGTAGAGTTGTCAATGGAAAATGCAAACCGAAATCTGCTGACTGTAGTGCCCTTGGATCTGGATTTGAAACTTATTCACCAGGGAACTGCTGTGGCAAGAGAAAGTGTTGTGCACCATGTAAGTTTTATTTTCCTTGGGTCTTTTGTAATACTCAAGTTGTTCAGTAGAGATCTGTTGAAAATATCGGAAAGATTATCCGTATTTTTTTAAACGTGTATAATAAAAGGTAAGTGATTGATAGATGCTCGGTTTTTTGTGGGGGTTCGTGTTGCTCAGTCTCTAGTTTATTATGTTGTGTTTTGTGTACTGTTGTTTGTCTCTTTTCTTTTTTTTTTTTGCCATGGCGTTGTCAGTTTATTTTCGACTTATGAGTTGAATATCCCTTTGGTATCTTTCGCCTCTCTTTGACATTGTCATGATGTGATATCATCCAGAAAGATTCACCACTCACTTGCTTCAATTAGAAAATTTCCACTTTTTCATTAAGATGATATTTGAACGATTAAACTGGTAAGTGTGTATTTCGTACTCCAGCCTCTATTCTAGAGGCTTCTCATCATATACATATATATAATGATTAACTGTTTCAAGAATATGTTATTTAGGTTTTACATTTCACACCCTTGTTTATCTTAGTGTCAAAATGTCTACCAGACTTGCATGTAGTACCAACGTATAGAGTTAAGTTGAACCAGTAACCTATTTTCAAACAATCAGAACTACGTTATTTGAAAAAAAAAGAATATGAAGACTATTCGTGATTTGAACCGTATCTCTATTCCAACAAAATGAAATATGTTTTTCAGATAACTCCCAAATAATGAATTTATCTTGTCTGCAGGTGACGCTGCATGTACACACGAATATGGCGGGAATTGTGTACTTGAGAGCGAATGCAATATGATTAAAAACAGCAGTCTGTGTACATCATGTGATGACTTAATATGCTGCATACCGGTAAGATTTTTATTCTTTTAGTGAGTATTTGATCTTATCATTGGTTTTTGTCTCGCCTGCGAAAGTCGTAGTATGCGAGACATAGGTATTACTATTCGGCGGCGGCGTAAACTATTTGTATAAAGCATTATATTTCAGAAGGTAGAAGACATGGATGCTTCATACCTTGTGTGCAGATACCTTATGTTACGAAGTTTTCGTCAGGCTGTCATATGCCCATTGTCCTTGACCTCATTTTCATGGTTCAGTGACTGCTTGAACAAAAATTACGGGTTTTTGTCATCTGAATTTCTCACTTACTAGTATTATGAGTAATGAGATAACTATATTTGGTATATTGGTTTATTGCAACGTCTACATGTCCGTCAGACAGGGTTAACCTGATCTCGACCTCAATTCATGGATCAGAGAACAAGATTAAAGTTACGTGATTAGGTCAGTTTCTCAGATACTACAAGCAGCAGGTCAACTATATGTGGTTTGTGGAATGATTGTAAGTGGTACATGTCAGACTGGCAAGTTTCATCTGACCTTGATCTCAATTTCATGCTTCATTGATCATTGTTAATTTTTTGTGTTTTGGTCTGTTTTTCAAGTACTGTAAGCAAAAGGTCAACTATATTTAGTGTATGGAATGATTGTAAGGTGTACATGTCTGTGTGACAGTTTTATCTGACCTTGACCTCATTGTCATGGATCTTTAAAAATGTTAGGTTTATGTGATACTTTTAGTAAAACCTTTATCTTTAAGACTTTCAACATAAAATCAATGGTCAGTACAACAGGCGAGACATTTCAGCGTGTGCACTCTTGTTCCCTTTTAATGCCAATATTTTTTGAATTTTTATTTGGATCTAGTTAGATTTGTGTAAGCTCATTGCTCAATGATTGTTGTTGTGTCCTATTTCTCATTTGTTTAACAGTTTATGACATTTTTACTCTGACTCTCAGTATCCTAGTGTACAAGCAGCAACAGTACTTCGGTTTTCAGGTGATTCAAATAAAACATTTTGTCTGAAAATTTTCAGTCCTTAAACTATGTAAGTGTGCTAGAGCAAAGGATGCAGCTATCTTACGTTAAGTTTAACTAGTTTTGGTAGTTCTGTGGAGGTTGGTGATGGTTTTGGCAGTTCTGTTGAAGTCGTAGACTGTTTTGGCAGTTCTGTTGGGATCGTAGAATGTTTATGGCAGATCTGTTGAGGTCGTAGACTGCTTTGGCAGTTCTGGTGAAGGCAGGTCGTAAATGGTTTTGGCAGTTCTGTTGTGATCGTAGCGGATTTTGGCAGTTATGTTGAAGTTTTATATGGTTTTGGCAGTTCTGTTGAGGCCGTAGATGGTTTTGGCAGTTCTGATATGACCGTAGATGTTTTTGGCAGATCTGTTGAGGCCGTGAACTTTGATTGTTTCGGCAGTTCTGTTGAGGTCGTAGATGTTTTTGGCAGTTATGTTGAGGTTCTTTATTGTTTTGACAGTTTTGTTGAGGCCGTAGAAGGTTTTTGTATCTCTGTTGAGGCCGTAAATTGTTTTGGTAATTCTGTTTAGGTCGTAAACGTAGATGGTTTTGGCAGTTCTGATTAGGCCGTAGATGTTTTTGGCAATTATGTTGAGGTTCTATACCGGTATTGTTTTGGCTGTTCTGTTGAGGCCGTAGATGGTTTTGGTAGTTCTGTTGAGGCCGTTAACTTAGATTGCATTGGCAGTTCTGTTGAGACCATAGATTTAGGTTTGAGGTTGTTGATTGTCGTGGCAGATTTGTTGAGGCTGTAGGTGTTTTTGACAGTTTTGTTGAGGCCGTTTATGGCTGTGGCAGTATTATTGAAACCGCATTTTTTTTGTAGTTCTGTTTATGTCGTAGATGGTTTTGACAGTTCTGTTGAGGCCTTAAATTGTATTGGCAGTTCTGTTGCGGCAATTTGTTGTTTTGGCAGTTCTGTTGCGGCTATAGGTTGTTTCGGCAGTTCTTTTGAGGTCGTAGACTATTTTGACAGTTCTGTTGAGGCCGTAAACTTGACATTTTTGCTCTCCAACGTTAAATATATTTGGCTTTTGAAAATGTTTGCGTCGATTGTAAATGTTGAAAATTATTGCTGAAACCCGTGTTGCTTGGTAGGAAATCATTTACGTTTTGTATTATTGATTAATTCATTTGAATATATGATATCATTTTTTAGGGGAAGCTAAAGCTCAAACAACTGCAGACTTTAAATAAGAAGGGTTTGCTAGTTGAATACACCAGATGATGCACCTGCCGGATTGTTTTTTATTTTTAATTTCCGAAGACAAAATGTTTGAAAAAAACATATGAAACGGTTGTGGTTTGCTTCAATGAATATAATAGTTCAGGACGAGAACAAGTTGATTTAATAAATAAGTGGTTTCTGCAGGGTTGGTTGAACAGGTAGGGCAAAAAAAGGAAAATGCCACTGGAAAAAAAATGGCATATTGAAAAGGGACAGAATCTGCGGGATCCCATGAGAGTTGTAAGGGAATCTTATTGTGGGTCACTCTCCAAACATTACATCACACATAGCCAAACAGACGTCCCGTCGACATAGATCCTACTACAGACAATACTTCTATTCCCCTGTCAAATTATGGACTCAATATAACAAATATAAACCAATTTTCAACAGTTTTTCATAATATACTTTGCAAATTCAATAATTGTGGAAAAATACAACATTGGTGTCATTTTGATTGTTCTGTAACCAGTAGTACACACATTATTAAACATATTTTCGCAGTATATAATGAATACATGTTGTTTATATATGAAAATATATCATGGAGAATTCTCCGCTTACGGAACAAATTATAAACAATATTTATATTGCCAACAGGTACAAGAAGAGAATTTTTTAAATATATGTATATATACTGAAAAAAATCTCATCTTGTACATGTTGGCAAATAGGTTACAAGAGCACAATTATTCAAAATGCATTTTCCATAGGGTACCAGTGGTGTTCCATGTTTCATTTCTCGAAGTCTAGACAAACTAGAAAACGAAACGAAACAAAAAGAAACGAAACGACTTATTTCCTGCATTTTGTGGGACAGAAAGAATATCCATTTTCGTCCGGTCTTTGGCAATATTATATATTTCCAGTTCTTACTTGGACATGATATTCATTTATGAAATCCTCTTGCACCTCTCCCCCCCCTCCTCCCCCACCCCCAATGAAATGTTAGTTATGACTGTCCCCTTACTATAAAAACCCCTTATTAGTGTTGCCTCAACAATCAACTATTCATAAAAAGAACTTAATTTTGAGATAATTTAATGCTTGAGTAAGATTAATGTTATAATCGTGTTAAAATAACGAATGAGACTACTAATAAATTATGCCTAACATAATTGTTAAAATGCTTGGATCGCTTATTTTAAAATAGTTAGATGCAACTGAGTGCAATAGTACTGCTGTTTTGTTTCAGTCTCCTGTGTCGACAGCTCAGTGGAATGGAATTTACACACTGTCTGGTGATAATATAGCATTTGAAATGACTCTTACGTTCGATGGAGGTAAAATAACAGGACAAGGTACCGAGGACAATGGAGATTTTACAATCGATGGTACATTCAATGCAAATACTATGCATATTGAGATTACAAAGCGCTTCACAAACATGGGTACGGATGCTGGATATTTTGGATCTTTGTCTGCTGATGGACAGACAATATCAGGCAGATGGCAAAACGGACATGTAAACGGAGTTTTTGAACTAAATCGTGCGCAATGATTTAAAAGACAATTTATGGCGTTATCCTTGACGCAAATAAAGCAAAAACGACGCTTTACTTAGAAGAAGTGTTTTTTTATGTTTTAACATCGTCAATTCCTATTTGAGGTGTCAAAATCACTGTGGCATTCGTCGTCATTTTTTCTGAAGTCTTCCATTTTTAAGCAAATGAAGACATAATTTAACCTGCATGATTTACGATTCATTAATAGACCGTTACTTTAGAATTAATTATGTTATGTGTCCAATGATTTTTTTATTCTAACCAATTCTCTTTTCTTTATTTGAAACAAGCTAGAGGCTCCAAAAGCCTGTGTCGCCCACCTAGGTCTTTGTGCATCTTCAACAATGGACACTCTCCTACATGGTAAACTAGAATACACTTCGTGACTAAAACGTAACTCTTTTTTGTTACCGGATCTTATATAACTGATACTTTTTTTTCTGTTTTCAGTTTCTCTCTATATTCTAAGGTTTTTGGCCAAACACAAAGAGAACAATAACTCTTATAAGAAGACAACTGACAATTTCATCTATGCTGACCTATTTGCAGATCTTGACTTGCTGGTCATACTTTAAAGTTTCTATCTATCTATTATAAGAATTTAAATATAATATGCAAAAACACAAAAAAGTGGTAAAAAATTGTCATTTAAGGGCACTAACTCCTATATATATAAAGATTTGACCAACGATTTCAGCAATTTCGACTTATTTGTAGATCTTGAATTGTGGATCATTTTCGCTATTTATAGTTTCTCTCTATCCATTATAGTTTCAAAATAATACTAGAAGTCAATAGCACAAAACAAAAGGTAAAAATTTCATTTTAGGGCAATAACTTTAAACGAGTCGACTGACAATTTCGTACATTGCTGACTTATTTAAAGATATTAACTTGCTGATCTTTTTTGCTATTCAAACTTCTATCTATCTATTATAGTTTTCCAAATAAGACAAAATCGCAAAAAAAGAGGAAAAATTGGAATATAAGGGCACTGACTCCTATAAAGAGTTGACCAACGATTACAGCAACATTGACTTATTTGTATAGTTTGCCTTGTGGATAATCTGATGACCTTTTTTAATTTATGACTTGTTGGACGACTAGCCATAATGATGCTATCTCATCATATTTGAAAAATGTTACAAACGGATGAAATCTGGTAAAAAATCACTTGATTCTTTTTTTTAATATAAATGTACTAAATATTGTAGTTATTCGCAATTCACATTTCGAAAATAATTTGAAATTAATAAGAGGATTTATAATATGCCCATTTCTAAGATTAGAAATACACCCACTTCAATCACTCGCAAAGCGTGTTATTGTTTTACATTTGTTATTTCGGCGTCTTTTCTAGCTTGCTGTACGGTAGTGGTTTTGCTCATTCTTGAAGTCCGTACGGTGACCTCAGTATAGTTGCTAACTTCTACGCATTTGGTCTCTGGTGGAGAGTTGTCTCATTAAATTGGCAATCATACAACATTTTCTTATTTATATAGTAGGTAGATCTCAACATTCTAAATATTTCTTTTCTTTATCTATAGTTGATTTCCAAATAAAAGATAAAAGTTGCATTTGTCGCCTATGTTCTATTATTAGCCATGTCAGCCATGTTTGTCATTATCGGACAAATTTTTAAACAAGATAAATAATGATGATTGTGGCCAATTTGATTCCAACTAGTTCAGTAGTTTCAGAGGAGAACATTTCTGGTAAAGATAACGGACAACGGACGATGATGGCCAAGTGATAAGAATAGATCGCTTGACAATTTGGGTCAGGTCAGTCAAAATTATGGAGATGTGGCATGATCGACAATGAGACAACTATTCCATTTAAAGACCAAAGGACAAAGATTTTAATAATTACTGCAGGTTGTTGTACAGCCTTCAACAGTTCAACAATAAGCAGAAACCATACCGTATAATAAGCTATAAAAGGCACCGGGATTAAAAAATGTGAAACAATTTAATAGAGAAAACCAACGGTCTGAACAACATTGAACGAAACACTATTACAGCAGATCGACAGCAACCAACCGACAACCAGTGGATTACCGGCTGATGGCTTGGGACTGATCTGTAAAGCATGAGGCAGAGTTTGTGTCAATTTGAAACAAATAAATCATATGTTTGTTTACATGACTTTTTTTTTGTATGAATCGCAAAAATCTATTGTCAACTACAATGTAGTTGGTTGACACGGGGATTTACATTAGTAAATAATATTGTATTATATGTCTCTGATTAGATGCACTTGACGGTAATCTTAAGCACATGAATAGAAGCCATCATCTGTCTTAATCTTATCTAATCTTTAATCAATCCTAATCCTATCTTATTTTTGGGAAATATTTTTACAAATTCAAATGTGACGTCACTCTGTGTGGTTTTTTTTAGAATTTCAAATGTGACGTCACTTTGTGCGTTGAGGCGTTGGCTAACTCGGCTGTGTATTTTTTTATGTGTTGGATTCAGTTGTTTTATGTAATGTATCCGTTTTTATTCTGAAGTTAGTCCCCACTTTGGTTTATCATGTATATCTATTATATAGTCATTTTATAAAATTTACTGTTTGCAAAATTATAAATTATTCTAAATAATAAGGATGTTCTTGTCCCAGGCAGAAAACCCTGGCCGTGTTAGGCGCTTCTTTTTGGAAGTTTTGGTCCTCGGTGCTCTTCAGCTTTGTACTTGTTTTGGCTTTCAAACATTTTTCATCTGAGCTTCACTGGTTGGTCTTGTGTGGACGAGACGCACGTCTGACGTATTGAATTTTAAGCCTAGTACCTTTTGTTAGCTATTATTCGTGAGTTTGTTTGTCCTATATGTTCTCCCATTTATTTGTATTGTGGTCCTGTCATGTGATGTTGTCATTTTGGTGTTGTGTTTGACGTTGCCATAAAAGCGGGAGGTTTGGCATGCCACAAAACCAGGTTCAATCCACCATTTTTTTCTTAAAATGTCCTGTACCAAGTCAGGAAAATGGCCATTGTTATATTATGGTTCGTTTCTGTGTGTGTTACATTTTAATGTTGTGTTTTTGTTGTGTCGTTGTTCTCCTCTTATATTTGATGCGTTTTCCCTCAGTTTTAGTTTGTAACCCGGATTTGCTTTTATCTCTATCGAATTATGAGTTTTCGAACAGCGGTATACTACTGTTGCCTTTATTTAATATAAACAGTATAATGATAAAAAGGATGGGACGTAAAATATAGTATGTGCAATTGGTGATATACTGAGGAAAAATATCCAAATGAATTAAACCGATTTACCTAGAAAGTATTCCATATATAGGACAGAGACACATATACATGCCTCTGCATAAGAGATTGTTCCTAACTGGTTTTAATGATATGTGTTTTGTTCATGTTTACGGTTCACACACTACTGTACCAGTACAATCATAAGCTCTTGGGAGCTTTTTACTGAATCTTAATAACATATACATAACATTTAAACAGAGAGGATTCAGATAAGATTTATAAGCAGCATATATTACAATGCATATAGATACAGCGCAGGCATATACATAACATTTAAACAGAGAGGATTCAGATAAGATTTATAAGCAGCATATATTACAATGCATATAGATACAGCGCAGGCATATACATAACATTTAAACAGAGAGGATTCAGATAAGATTTATAAGCAGCATATATTACAATGCATATAGATACAGCGCAGGCATATACATAACATTTAAACAGAGAGGATTCAGATAAGATTTATAAGCAGCATATATTACAATGCATATAGATACAGCGCAGGCATATACATAACATTTAAACAGAGAGGATTCAGATAAGATTTATAAGCAGCATATATTACAATGCATATAGATACAGCGCAGGCATATACATAACATTTAAACAGAGAGGATTCAGATAAGATTTATAAGCAGCATATATTACAATGCATATAGATACAGCGCAGGCATATACATAACATTTAAACAGAGAGGATTCAGATAAGATTTATAAGCAGCATATATTACAATGCATATAGATACAGCGCAGGCATATACATAACATTTAAACAGAGAGGATTCAGATAAGATTTATAAGCAGCATATATTACAATGCATATAGATACAGCGCAGGCATATACATAACATTTAAACAGAGAGGATTCAGATAAGATTTATAAGCAGCATATATTACAATGCATATAGATACAGCGCAGGCATATTGAAATACACAGAAAGCACTACTACTCTACACATCTAAACCTGCTAAAACTGAAGCACAACTAAAATTAAGCAAAGCTAATTTAAAGCACAACTAAAATTGAAGCACACATCCAAAATTAAAAGTTATTATGCAAAAATTAAGCATATCAGTTTAAATGCAAAGCGCCAACTAAAAATAATACATGAAAAGCTTATCTACATGCAGAACAACGACATTCCGATTCACTTTTGGAATGTAAAAGGCTTTTGAATAGTGAAATCCTGAAATGGTCGGGTAGGCTATTCCACAGAGTAACAACTGCAAGTCTAAAACTTTTCTTACCAAGCTGTGTTGATTGTACTTGGGGAATATACAGTATATATCTATATCTGAAAGAATATTTACAATCTAATACATTTAGGTGCTATTTCATTGACTATGTTAAAAGTTTCAGTTGCCATTGATCTTTGTCTTTTAATATGCAGTGAATGCATCTTGGCTTTTTCAAGCAACTGTTGAAATTAACTTGAATGATCTTCATACACAAACCTGGGTGCTCTTTCTTGCACTTTTTTCTATTTTTCTCAGTACAGAAATGCCATGCCAAAGGGAAGAAATTGAAATTGCTCAAAATAAATGTATGAAATATAGTTAGCTTACTTAGCTTGTTAAAATAAGTTCCTAAACGTTTAAGAATATTTAGTTGCTGAGATATGCCTTCCTGCATATTTTACCGATACGAGTATCAAAATCTAACTGATAATCAATGTCAATGCCAAGAAGTTTAACAGATAATTCACATGAAAGATCAGTACTTTGAACACGTACACATGGATTTTTGTCATATGTCTTTTCCCCAACTGCTAAGCACATACTAGATAAGGATGAAATATATTTAAAAAATCAATAAGTTGAATTTCAAACACCTTTTCATAGATGTTAGAAAAAAAATAGGTAGAACACTGACAGGCCTTTAACTGGCATTTGTCAAGTTGGTTTTGTGTCAGTGTGTGCAGTGGTGTTACTTGGATCTGCGTAAGTTTATCAGGAAATTCACCAGTTTCTACAGATAAATTTATCAATGTTGTTAATTGTGTGACAATTATAGGTTTACAATATTTCGGTATGCCATGTACACCAGTAGCTTTTTAGTCCCCTGCCGACGAGGTCGAGGTGACTTTAGGTTTGCAATCCGTCAGTCCGGTAAATCAGTTTTCCACACTTTTTTCTTCATGCTTGAAGATATTGATTTGATATTTAATATATAGTTTTATCATGACCAGTGACAGATCAAGTTTGAATTTTGTTCAGGTCTGGTCATCTTGTGCAGAGTTATGGTCCTTGGACTTCGAAAATTCATGCAAGTAATCAGTTTTCCGCACTTTTTGTTTTGTCATGCTTGAAGATATTGATTAAATATTTAGTATATAGTTTTACCATGACAAGTTACAGATCAAGTTCGAATTTCGTTTGGTTAGGATTATTTTTTTTGCAGAGTTATGGTACTCGGACTTAGAAAATTCACACAAAAAATCAGTTTTCCACACTTTTTTTTGTTATGCTTGAAGATATTGATTTGATATTTGTTATATAGTTTACACCATGACAAGTAATCAGTTTTCCGCACTTTTTGTTTTGTCATGCTTGAAGATATTGATTAAATATTTAGTATATAGTTTTACCATGACAAGTTACAGATCAAGTTCGAATTTCGTTTGGTTAGGATTATTTTTTTTGCAGAGTTATGGTACTCGGACTTAGAAAATTCACACAAAAAATCAGTTTTCCACACTTTTTTTTGTTATGCTTGAAGATATTGATTTGATATTTGTTATATAGTTTACACCATGACAAGTCATAGATCAATTTAGCATTTTGTACCAGTACAATGAATTTTTAACCGGTTGGGGACTATGTATTGCCATGCAATACTCTCAGAATTCTTGTTTAATGTTAACTTTGTTTATAATTTTTGCTACCTTTTCTGTTGTTGTTTTCTGAAAATCAAATTGTATGTTTGTGCAATTATGATCTTTTATTTGTAAAATACTAGTATGAGTTGATGGACGGTCTGCAACTGTTGAAAAAAATGAATTAAGACATTCTGAAACATCTTTGGCATCATTTATGATTTTTGTTGTTATCGCATGATACATTTTTTAGTTCCCCAGAGTGACATTTTTTTTTTAGAAAAACGGCTTTAAACTTGTCCAAATGTTTTTTGTTGGTCCCACCTGTACAACGCTCTAAAAAGTTGTTTTACATTGAATTTTTTAAAAAGTTTTGTAACAAGGTTTTTCTGTTTTCTATATTTTTCCTATGTTTTTGATCTTTACATGACAATAGACATTATATATATATATATATATATATATATAAGTCTGAAAATTAAACCCAACGGTGTTAGAATTAGATTTTTATGCTGGCAAATTTTTTATCCCTCAGTGGGATTTGAACTCACACCTTTGATACACTACAGCACCAATCGCTTGGACTCATGTCCATATATATACACATATATATAGACCATAGACAATATTTATTTATGCTTTGTAAATTGTGTGTACAGCATGTGTTTTGCGATTTTTCCTATCATAATAATTACTATTATGTAGGGGTGCTCCGGCAATTAGACAACTACAAATAAATTATAATGTAGTCTACTTTAAAATAAAAATGGATTATCACCGTAAAAGGTTCTGATCAAGGACCTGTCTGTAAGGTTTTATACATATCACAGTCAGTCATGTCTTCCGGTCAGCAACTTGCTAGAATTTTTCAACGGTCTTTTACATTATTAAGCCAGAATTTAACTAATGTAAACAAAGGTAACTGTGTTATTATTAGAGATGATGAAAATCTGTAAAGTAATAAGTGTAGTTGTTGCAATTCAATTTTCTCTCTCCAAGATTCCCGTGAAGCTATAAAAAGGGGGGACCAAACACATACATGTACTGACATTGACTGAAAGGTAAGTTTGTGCAGAGACGTATATATGTCTCTGGATTGTTATGCTAACAATGCTTATCTTGCATGTCTGAGAAGAAGTTTAATTAAACACGCTGGACTGCTTGATATTAATAAACTGTCCTAATATATCCTCTCTTTTTAAGGAAAATTGGTAAGAAATGTTTACAGATCAGAAAATAATATTAATAGACCACTTCATGGTTATTGCAGTCATATTAAAAAGTCAGCAAATTTTTAGGATATAGATGGAAATTGTAAGAACGTACAAGAAAACATATGCATGTTTCCAAGCAACAGTTCTGCTTCAATGATATTTTCCAGTGTTTTTGAAAGCATTTTTACCTCCATTAATGCGAATCCCGGTCTGTTCACCCAAAATCACATTCGCTCCCATTCACGTTCGCACCCTTTTTATTGGTTTTGTGTTGAATACATTTTTAATCGTGTTTAAGTTAGTGTAAAGCTATAAATATTTTTTTTTTTTTTATTGTTTCCTCAAAATAAAGTGACATTCTTAAAATGTAAACCAGTTCCTTTAGTGTTTTATATGGGACTAATTTCTACAGGCGAATTACCGAATTTTTATTAATGAAAATTTAGATATTTTGATAAATACACCTAAAAACATCTAATAATTCAACCAGTATTTGAAAAAAAAAGGGTGTGAACGTGTGGGGAGCGAACATGTATTATGAGCGAAGGGACCCGATACCCATTAATGCATAGACCTTATCGCTATTTGGAAATCTGCGCCGCTTGACCCAAGAATCTGCGCCTCTTGAACTTTTGACATCTTACAACAATTACTTTTCCATTGTGGTATCAGATATTTTCTATTTTGAAGTCAAAATTTTACGGGAACCTTTATGATGTCAAGTAATGGTGGACAAATAGCGATGAGGTGTATTATGAAAATCTGCCCCTATTCAATATGGCTGCAATAACCGTGAAAGGAAAGTCAGAGTGCGATGTACACATAAAATTTGAAGGCTGAAATTTCTTTGGCTGATGTAATAATTACCAGAACAGAAACTAAACTGGAGTCAGAGTGTTGTCAGATCCTTGTAAGCAAAGCTAGATACATGACAGGGTCTGTCTTTTAATCAGATCAGGCATGGGGTAATCATAATCAGTAATCTTAATCAGCTGTAATCGATTACATTTTGCAGTGTAATCACATAAAATCAGTAATCATGCTTTTTCTGATTACAATTAATCGTAATGTAATCGATTACAATTAAAAAAAAACAGGTGTAATCATGATTACTTTTAGTTAACATTCAAATGATTACTTGCTGATTACAAATTTTATATATAAAAAATGTTTTTTATACATGTTATATACAAGCATAAATAAAAAAATCCTCAAACTACTATTCACTTTGATTGATCATGGTTCAATAAGATTGATCCTATTAATTATTTAATAATTTCAGTTTCAGTATACTCATGCTTAAAGGTATGTAGGGTGTAAAGGTGTGGCTTTTTTTAACAGTTTACTACATGAATTTACCCTTCCAAAAGTTTCATTTTGAGATTGAGCCCTTGTGATATAAGATGTGTGCTTTTAAATATTTTGCTGTTCCCTTGGGTTGCAGAAAATTCACAGACTGTTAAGGTTAAGTGTAAATTTTGCTCTTTATATTGACTTTGATGTTTGACTTTAAATGTTAATGGAATTTTGAACCAACTATTTTTTCACAATTTTTATAACAAAAATTCCATAATTTTTTATCATGTGTTTTTTTAATACGTTTGTATAGAAATATAAATTTTACAATGATGTATATAATAAAAAATAAATTTTATACAAATTTATTGATTATTCCAATCAAAACAATTCATTTTAATTACCCAAGCTCACCTATTGTTTGTTATAAAATTTGAAGTAGTGATTAACACCTGTAAAAACAAAACATTTAAGTGTCAATTATATCCACACAGACATAAGGGCTTCTTGATCATTAAATAATCACTATTTGTTAGTTTCTTTTTCTTAATTGAAAAAATGTTTTAAATTTTAGCTAAAATATAAAAAAAAAAAAACAATGTTATTCCTTTAACAGAGACAGCACAGACACTTTACATTCAAAGTAAATCTGTCAAATAAAATAATATAAATTATGTCATCAAATAATACAAATATTACACTGCTCCTTTTCTAAGTTCATATAAATAACATGTTTATATTTATAATATTAAAAACACAATTTTTCACTCAGATTAGATTTTTTATGTGAGGATCAAATGTTTAAAAAAGTTTTATTTCAATACCACAGTATACAATGTAAATGTAATCATAAGTAATCTAAAGTAATCATGATTACTTTAAAGAAAAATAATCTAATGTAATCAATTACATTTGAGTTTAGGTGTAGTTGTAATGTAATCGATTACATCAAATTAGAAAAGTAATTGTAATTTAATCGATTACATTTTAAAGTAATCAACCCCATCCCTGAATCAGATTGGGTTCTACATAATACATAAAACTTTATTTGAAGTTTGTATATACAAGAAAATTACAAACCCTGCAAAAAATTGGAGAGCTTTTAAAACAGACAAAACAAAAGCAAATTATACAATAGTACATGCATATCAAAACGTGTAAATATAAAATTAAACATAGAAAGCAAGAATTCATGATCATATTATGCATAAATAAAACACAAAAGTTTAATCAAGCAGTTTAAACACACATATTGTAGGATGAACATTAACATAAAAGCAAAACATGTAAAAGGGTTTGCAACATAAAAAAAGTAGTATAAGTTAACATAAGGTTGCCATGAATATAATAAAGGAGAAAACTAAGAACAATTTACATGACCAGAATTATCTGGTAATGCAGGCAAAATACTGGCATGAGCTGCCCCGACCAAGAATTTATTAGATACTTAATTTGATTTAAAGATAGTTGCTTACAAAGCTCATCATGGTGATGATCATGCAGCTCATCCCAAACGTTTAGCACCTGCATACCAATAAAATTGTAGGCCATATGCTGTTGTTCTGACTTGTGGCGGATTTGCTGTTTATGATCTTATATCTAAACAAGTAAGAGTTTTCCATTTATAAGTGGATCATTAAATCATGTCCATTAACATGACATTCTTTATTAATAATTTTGAAAACTTCAATAGCCAATGATCTCATTCTTCTAATTTTTAAAGATGGTAGTTTAGATTAGCATAGTAGATCTTCATAACCATGATAACCTGCTGAATAGTCTTCATATATAAATATTCACAACTTTACTTGTTGTTGAATATTTGCCCAAGAGGTTTAAAATTGTCTGCTAAATTAGGTTAAGATAAAGGTTTGTTTACATGTAAAATAACAGGTACATGTAATAGAGTGAATGAATTGACAGTGACATCAACTGGGCAGATGTTCTGTCCACAATTCTAAACAATATAATTTAATAAATTGTATTTAAATAAATTGTACTGTTAGTGACAATAGAAGGGCTGCTTTGATCATAAAATGTACTACCTCCTAAGAAAGGTGGATTATAAAACTAAATATTTGTAATAAATAACATAAAAATCTGTTTTGAATCGTCAGAGTTAGTAATTACAAGTGGGAAAAGGTGGAAATAAAATCAGCTTTATCACAATAATGTGGCATGTTAAAATTTATATATTTTTATTAGTTTTATTTTTGAAGATTATCATGATTATAGAACCTTTATAAGAGACTATGAATACTTTATTTGTCAGGAATTACTTGTGGTTGCAGAGTAACCTCGAAAAAATATCAAAATGGGACATTTAGTGTGAACAGATTTCTCCATACCTCAACCAATCTTGCACAGAAAAAGTAAGTGATATTTTACTGATTTTAGAACAATTTTTTACTTTGATAATTGATGCCATTTCCATTGAATAGGTTTTATTTGATTTCCACTGAAGTGTCTCATATAGATGGAACCTATTTGTAGGTATCTTTGAAAAGTTTTTACAATGCATACATGTACAACTGCATTGAAAATCCTAATGCTGTAAATATATGCAATTTTTGGTGTATTTATAATGTAAATTTTGTTAGCTGTATCAGTTACGTGTTATTATTTAAATTGGACAAAATTATGGAAATATCATACACCTTGAGAGACTGCAGATATTCTATTTTGCAGTTCAATTGTATTTGTATTAAAAGGAACTTTTAACCTTGCTTTCAGTGGACATAACTTCAGTACTGCTTCAGATGTACAACTACAAAAAGACAATGAGCCTAATAGTAAAGGTAAGATTAACTTCACAGAATATTACAAATGGATTTATAAGTATTATTAAAGATGTCTGTACTTAGTTGAAGAAAAAAACATCGATATAAGAGAACATCCTGAATGTTGGACATCACTATAACATACATGTAATAAACCAGATAAAAAAAAAATTCTACCCAAGTTGACTTCTTTTTTGATGTATTCAAAGTTCATAGTTAACTCAGATTGTGCTATAGAAAAAAAGTTAGAAGATACCATGACCAAAAGACAAACAGCAGTATATTTTTGGACAAAAAATCTCGCTAAAGCTATCATGCTAACTGCTAACGCTAATTCATGGAGAGATGAATAGATTTGACAATTATCTGATGCATTTACGACTAGTTTCAATCACATCTAATGATCCAAGAGAAAAAATCAACACCTGATTAGTTTCAGATACTTAATATTCAATCAGCAACTCTGTCATATATTTTATCTTATTTTCCTGACCTTATCATATATCATGAAGCCTGAAAATTCCAGAGGATTATCCCTACCACTATTTACATAATGTGTAAACATTTTCTGCCCCAAAAGTGGCATTTTTCTATTTATATCCAGGTCTATTTAAGGGTCACAATTATAGTACAGTTTCTCTGTAATGGCTGCCCTGGAAGTGAACAATTTCAGTAGTTTTATAAACAACATCTTTTTGGCATATTAGACCAAACAAAAAGTACATGTATGTGTGTTTCAGGAGTTTTATTCTAACATAGGATAGATAGGGATACCAGTAGTTTGCTGTTGTTGTTGATTATGTAACAAATATACTTTGATTCAAACTTTCCGTTGAATAAATATCATTTTTTTTACTTATTAAAAAACTTAGGGTAAGCAATTTTCTGTACAAAAAGAAAGACTAAGTAAGGGAATTATACATATAAAAAACTATCATGATTAAACATTATTAGTCTATTAGTCTTACTGTCACCGCTAAGTACAGTTGTATGTACTCGATACATTTTGTAATATCAAAAAGTTGCCCATCACTCAATAAGCTGTGGATATGAAGAAAGTAGTAAAAGGAATTAACATTTATTTAGGCCAAAAATGAAATTTAAATTGTTGGATGTTGCCTACCTACCCACATAAAATGCAGCCTACCCGAAAAATTTTATGACACAAATCATTTCAAATTTTTTTCACAAGATTTTTTCCTGGTCTAATGTTGTTTTCTTGTCTAAAATATGTAACTTAAGTTACTTATGTTGTTGGTAAAAAAAAAAAATCCCTACCTAACTACCCAACCCTACAAGTCATGGGTAGGCAACTTCAAACAAAGAACTTTTTAAGGGTGGCTTTGGGTAAACTTTTAATTTTGTAATCAATTTTAGATGTAGTAATAAGTAAAGTGAATGATACTTTACACAGAGAAGATTTAGGACGATTATTTGCTGTAATACATGTCCAGGGAAAACAACGGAAAGTAACCACAGAAGATCTTGTAGTTCTTAGAGGTCATTTCTATCCTTCTATTGGCGACAAAATTAGATTGGAAAAGGTAAATATTTATATACCGGTAATACTTTATCTTATAAAAAACAGACGTAAGATCATATGAAACTATTTTAGATACTGTCATATCCAGAAAAAAATATCAGCCTAGTAGGATTTGTTTGATGATTAAAAAGAAATATTATGAAATCAAAATTGTTGACAGATAAGAACATGAATAATCATAAAACAATATAATAAATAGAATTAAATCCTGTGTCTGAGGAATAGATTGCGAATTTGACCAGACTTAAATGTTGATACCTCCATTTGATACTGTAAATTCAGAAATTATTGCGTGCATTTATTATTGCGATTTTTCATTTTAGACTAATATGCGATTTGAATTTTTGCAATATTGAGAAAAATCCTTTTTCTCATCACTTGGCGTCCGTCGTCTGTTGTCGGCGGCGTCGTCGTTAGCTTTTTACAAAAATCTTCTCCTCTGAAACCACTGGGCCAAATTTAACCAAACTTGACCACAATCATCATTAGGGTATCTAGTTTAAAAAATGTGTCTGATAACCCCGCCAACCAACTAAGATGGCCGCCATGGCTAAAAATAGAACATAGGGGTAAAATGTAGATTTTGGCTTATATCTCTGAAACCAAAGCATTTAGAGTAAATCTGACATAGGGTAAAACTGATTATCAGGTCAAGATCTATCTGCCCTGAAATTTTCAGACAAATCTGACAACCTGTTGTTGGGTTGCTGCCCCTGAATTGGTAATTTTAAGGAAATTTTGCAGTTTTTGGTTATTATCTTGAATATTATTATAGATAGAGATAAACTGTAAACAGCAATAATGTTCAGCAAAGTAAGATCTACAAATAAGTTGTCATGACCAAAATTGTCAGTCGACCCCTTTAGGAGTTATTGCCCTTAATAGTCAATTTTTAACAATTTTTTGTAAATTTTTGTAATCTTTTACAGAAATCTTCTTCTCTGAAACTACTGAGACAAATTTAACCATACTTGGCCATAATCATTATTAGGGTATCTAGTTTAAAAAATTTGTCCGATGACCCCACCTTCCAACCATCATGGCCGACTTGGTTAAAAATAGAACATAGGGGAAAAATGCAGTTTTTGGTTTATATCTCTGAAACTAAAGCATTTAGAGCAAATCTGACAGGTGGCAATAATGTTCATCAGATTTAGATTTATCTGCCCTGAAATTTTCAGACGAATCCGACAACCTGTTGTTGGGTTGCTGCCCCTGAGTTTGTAATTTTACAAAAATTTTGCAGTTTTTTGTTATTATCTTAGATATCATTATAATATCTAATATCTAATACTATTAATTATGATTTTAACCTTATTTTACATGATTTCCAAAGCATCAGTAAATACAGGTGAGTGACACAGGCTCTTGAGAGCCTCTAGTTTGAATTCATATAAAAATTTTAAAATGCAAGTTTAAATTATTGCGATTATAACCCTGTTGCATTTTTCGCAATAATAAAAACATTGCAATAATTTCTAATTTTACAGTAGTCATTTTAAGATTCATCAAAATTTTACCTTTTTTGATTAATGAAGAACGTCTCAAAAATGTAATAAATCCAGGGAAAATAAATAAATACAACTGATTCTGGCATTAGTATCACAGTGTCTGCACACACGACAAATACCTTAAAGACAGATGGAACAATAGATGGGACATTAAGGAGTAAGAGCAAAGGCTTGGAGTCAGAATAATGTGTGTGGGTAGGAGGACGTTCTTCCTGTGTAAGTTACCTTGTGAACAAGCATGTTAAAATCCAGCTCAGCATGTCGAGCTAATACAAAACAGAGTTGATATTCATATTAAATTGACATGTTCTCGTCCTGAATATGCATTTGATGTGCGGCTGGTCGTTAAACCTTAAAACATCATCATCATCAGCAGCAATAGATTTCACAATCATAACTGAGAACAAGTGCAATACATTTTTTTTTGTCTTAACCAAATTATAAATGAAACAATATTGGCAGTTAAAATAGGTTGCATCAAGCTGAAACTTCTTTGACTTCATTTTTAAGTTGACCTGGCTCATATACAAAAAATCAACATAAAGGTCTTGGTGGCTTACAATGGAAAACTAGTACCTTAGTGTACAGCAAAAATGAATCCAAATATCTTTAAGCCCTGCCTACACGTATCAGTGTTTTATTTCATGCATACAATATGAAAATAAGAAGACGTGGTATGATTGTCAATGAGATAACTCTTCACCAGAGACTAAATGATGTAGAACGTTAGCAACTATAGGTCACCGTATGTCCTTCCACAATGAGCAGAACCATACCGCATAGCAAGCTATAAAAGGCCCCGAAATGACAAATGTAAAACAATTCGAACAAGAAAACTTATGGCCTGATTTATGAAAAAAAAACCAACAGAAAAGATAAAAAGCAACTAGCAACAAGCATTGAAGTACAGGCTACTGACATGGGACAGGCACATACAGAATGTGGCAGACTAATGTACACTATAGTTTTTTTTAAGATGACCTTACTGACTTATGTACAATATATATACATTATCGTAAATCGGGATATTTTAGTTGTAGTCATATTTTGGTTTATTTGGAAGCTTATATGAAAGTGTCAAATTACCCACTACAAATAATTAAATTGACCAAAAAGATAAGTGCAAAATTTTTTCGATAATCATAGTAAAGTACAATAATATTATTATATATTTAAAAAACAATTGCACTAAATCAACTTATTATAATAGATTAAAAAACATAAAATTTTGTAATAGTGCATAAATTATATAATAGATAAAAACACCACATGTTGTAACAGTGCATTTAATTGTATAATAGATAAAAAACATCAAAAGTTGTAGCAGCTCACTAGTTATATAATAGATATTGTAGCAGATTGAATTTAATGACCACTCTTTCTTGATTATCTGATCAGTTTTACTACATTTGTATACATGTAACAATACTTCAGTCAATAAAATGTGAAATTTGAATAAGCTACTGTCATCTAATTATTGAAATCCAATTTGACATGTGTTTTTTTTATTTATTCTTTTTTCATTTTAACATTATAATATAAGGAGATGTGGTATGATTTCCAATGAGACTCATCAACAGAGACCAAATCATGTAAATGTTAGCAACTATAGGTCTCCTCATGGCCATCAGTATTGAGCAAAATCCAAACCACATAGCATTCTATAAAAGGCCCTGACATGAAAACAGGTTAAACAATTTAATAAGATAAGTTAACCCAACATAAAGATTTACGTAAAAAAATAACAAATAATAAACAAAATTGATATATAGCAACAAACGCCAACCACTGAATTACAGGCTCCTAACTTGGGACAGGCACATACAGAATCTAGCAGGGTAAAGCATGTTCACAGATGATTAACTTCCCCTAGCCTGGGTCAGTGGTCTTACAGCACAGAACAATATATTGTTTTTCTTTATAAGTCACTGACAGCAAATTGAAAAAAAATTAAATGATGTGATTTCCATTATAATGAAATTGTAATATGATATTGATGCAGTATCAAAATTTGACACACCAAAATTTAAAAGCTTCCTTTTTTTTGTTAAAACGCCTGAATATCCTGAATTTACGGTTTTACATTGCTTTCTGACTCGTTTGATAAAACAAAGAATAAAATTGTAATGATGCTCCTTTGTCCTGTCAGTCTTGATTGTCTTCTTTTATATTATGGCAAGTTTCATTTTAACATTCAAAAACAAGTTTTACTACATTTTAAAACTTTATTATTTGATGACTTGTATGGAATTTATACAACTGATATGTGAACTGGTTTACACCAATCTGAGTTAACACATATCTTGTGTTCAAGCTTTCCTTACAAGGATCTGAAAATTCTATATTCTGTTTCAAAGTCCTTTCGGAAATCCTCTAGATTTGTTGGATTAATACACACTTTCAAAAATTTGAAAGCTGAAATTTCATTGGCTGATGTAATAATTACCAGAACAGAAAGTAAAATGGAGTGTTGTTGGATCCTTGTAAGCAAAGCTTGAACACAGGATCTGTATTTTTAATCAAGATTGGGTTTACACAGTCAATGAATAAATAAAATGTTTCACACACACTATTCAAACTTCTTTTGTAGGTTTTACTTGTTGGAGGAAAAGATTTCACTTTAGTAGGTAGACCAATTTTAAGGTGAGTTTATTCAACTTGTTTGGAAGACAAAAATGAATAATTAAATAAATGAGCAGACAAAGATAAAGAGAAAAAAAACGAAAAGAAAAAATACTTCTTAATACTTAAGGCTGGGCCCCCCTTTTTGTAGGAAAAATTTGGTTGATTATATAAGCATGACTGGAGCGGGCCCCGCCTTAGGTCAGTCAGCGGGCCCCCCCTTATGAAAAGTTCTGGATCCGCCACTGATAAGCCATGGGCACAACCCCCTCCCCTTTGCCTATCTAGACCATAAGTCAAACTAAATGAAAAACATGTACAGTGCAATCATATCCTGTGTCCAATCTTTGCTTGAAAGGATTCTTTCAACTTTCTGTTCTGGTAATTTTTACATAATCTAATGAAATTTCAGGCTTCAAATTTTCAAAGGTGTGTATCATTACAACTAAACCAGAGGACCCAGAAAGTTCTCTTTAACAGAAAGTAGAAATAAGCATTTTCAGATTCTTGAAACCTATGCTTGGACACAGGATCTGAATTTCAATCAGATTGTGCACAGTGCAGCTACACACTTTGTACCAACAGCAGCATGACCAACTTAAAACAAGAAATTAAAACACAACACATAATTTAGAGTTTGTTGCATTACTTTTTTTTAATTTTTAATGCAGACTAAATTATTTAAGCAGTTCAGCAAAAAAAATGATATGATGCATTGATTCATAACCCAAAATACCTACACACAGTTGACAAAACCTAAAGGAATGGAAGCTTTAGCTTTATTAACTTTCTTCATATCAAAATCGTAATAAACTAAGTAAAAATCTCAAGATGAGTCCTATAGTACTGGTTATTAATACTATCATAATTTTCCCAACAGTCTCATTGTAGCCAGTTTTAGGTTCTATACAATGGTAGTGTACAGAATTATCAGAATCTTTTCTTTCTATCCTTTTATGGATATGTGTGATCGGAAAGTTATTCACAATTTTTTGTTGATAGATGAAAAATAATAAAAAGTTTGTAAATGATTGTTATTTTTACAAATTGAGGATCCACACGAAGTAAGAAAAAGTTTTTTATTGGAATTAAATAGTTTTGAAAATTTCCAAATCAAAAATTTAAAATAAAACTTGCATTAGGAGAGAAAAATTGTGAATGCATTAAAGAAAAAAAAATAATTAAATGGAAATATCATTCAGTTCATCCTTACCATTTTTTGTTTTTAGTTGTTTTCACTTGATGAAATTTCTAAACAGCAAGTCTATAGAGAACCATTTACTTCCATAGTTATTTTTACTCTTCATTGCAGTCGAAAACAAGTTAAAGTAGAAGCAACAGTACTAGAGAAGACATTATCACATTTTATTGTACAGTTTGACTATAGACCTAGGAGGAAACGCAAGAGATTTAATTGTAAGTTTATATTCATCGTTTTATAAGGGTTATAAATGTTGTGCTGTTACACAACTGTCCCATGTTAGGGAGATAGTTGAGAGCTCACAATCGTGCTGAATCACCACCCTGCCATATACTTAATATGTCTGTCTCAAGCAATGACCTTGTAGTCCAGTGGTTGTTGTTACTGTCTGTCATAATCATTTTTCCTTTTATGTTATTAGCTAAAACTTGAGCTGTATATTTCTCTTTTGAATTGTTTCACATTCTGTTATCTTGAGGCCTTTTATAGATTACTATACAATATGATGTTTGCTCCTTTTGAGTGACATGCAATAACCTGTAGTTGTTTCCATCATTGTCCTTTGGTCTTTAGTGGACATTAGTCTCATTGGCAATCTAACCACATCTCTGTGTTTCTTAAATATATGTATATATTTAATTTATCAAAAGAATTTTTGAAGACTAGGGACATGTTTTTATGCATGTTTTAGAAATTCAAATCTTTTATGTAGTTTAGTAAAAGGAATATTTCTCCCATGCATGGAATTCAAAAGATTTCCCATTTTTGGGGTAAATATTACATTCATGCAATCAATTTACCTTATGTGGCTGACTTGATAGTTATCAATTTTCCAGACTTTATCACTACTTTTGAGATAAATAAAACATAGTGCATTGAGTATAACATTCTATTCTTCCTATCCATGAACATTTCAAGAAATTTATTAATGAAAATTATATACTCTGATGTTTAAGGTACAAAATGAAATGGCGACAGTGTGTATTGTATAACGATACTTGTCAATAAAGTTACATTGATTGTGCATGGTGCATGAATCTAGTATCTGTTCTAAAAATATCACAATGATGTGAAGTTATCTCCCTTTATATGTAATTGTAGTCAGCACTTTCCAATGCTTAAAACAATGCAATTTTAAAAAATTGTTTCATTTTTAGATCCCACTGCAAAAATAAATGCAATCCTTACCCTCCAGTGCTTACAAGTACTTTGATTTGTTTCATGATGTATCAGTTAAGACTCATTTGTAATTATTGATATAACTAAGATAGCTTTTCAAAATTTAAAATCTTTGACAGTTAAGCATATATATAAACATTTATTACCTTAAATTGTGGAGTTTTTATTATTGCAAAAATTGTGAATCGGGATAGTTTTCACAAAGTCTCAATTTTTAAATTGAAAGCATAATTGTAAGGGGCAGTTTCTGAAATTGCAATAAATAGTCTGGCATTATTGTCTATTGTTAAAATATAGCAAAAATAAATGCATTAAATATTGTTGAATTTACAGTACTTTCTCAGTTAGATGAGAAAATTGTATACATTGAAGTAGTATTGAACAACACAATTGAAGTTTATCCAGGGCTTATAAAATTGTTTATGTAACTTAAAAATCAAAAGCTAGATATTTTAACTTTTTATTTTTTCAGTGAGAAGAGAAAATTATACAGTACTCTTGATCAACTCTATTGAAGTGAATCCAGTACTAGAGACATAGAGACATTGTGACTAAATCATACGATCTATACGTCATTTCAATCCTAGAGACTAAGTGAAATTAAAACATGAGCATTTTATAGTAATTTGTATTGATCTGTTAAATAAAATGGAAATCTATTCTTATCTTATTATTAAAGCATTGAAAGTCTGCTTGATTTATAGTAGTTGTTCAATATTCAGTGGCAAATAGTTCATGCTTAATGAGAAAGGAAAACAAAAGTTGTTAAGTTCTTTTGAAATCTGAATGGAATAGTAAAAGTGGAGGTTATTTTGACTGCCCCTTGGTGATAAAGGGTGTTTAGGGAAGGGTCAGTTTATTTGAGGGTAGACCAAAGTCAGAAACTCAAGAGGTTATCATCCACCTATTTTATGATTTCACTTTCTCACTTTTTAAAATAAAAGATATGCTGAAAAAAACATTTGTAACATGGAATTACCCATTTCTGCAAAAGATGTAATTTTTAGAGATATTGAATCTGATAATTTTACAAAGTACATGTGTCATTGTTATCAATAAGTATTATATATACATACAAACTTAACGGTAATAAATCTTCCTCTGTTGGCTCTATTAGAAATTTAAACAAGCTTACTAAATATGTAAACTAACAACTGTTTTTTTTATCCATTCTCTTGAATTAAGTGAAAAGAAATAACTAATTACCTTTATCGCTGTTTTACGAAATTTTCCTTTGATCTTCCTGACTGATAATTTCCTTTCTCAGCACAGTAGAGTGATATGAAAAATTATCGCTAGAAACTAAGGGCGCACGTGCCGTTGTCAATGTAAACATCAACGTTGTCATAGGCAAAATAGCGATAAACAGATTATCATTGGTCATCTGAACTTGATTGCTTTTCTCCCTTTAGTCGTACCGGCTCAAGCGAGAAAATCAATCTCCTTGAGATGACCAACGATAATCTATAAATATCATTTTTGGGATGTTTAATTATGCTTTATTTTTCATATTTTATTTAAATTCAATATATATAATCTTAGACTGAATGTAGAATTGGCTAAGCATCTAAAGCTATTAATTTTGAAAAATGTTGTATCATTGAATGATGAGTGAGTGTGTATAGATCATCCCTGAGCAAAAAATTGTAGAATTAGTATGATGGTCAATACGCTTGCCATGAGTCTTGTGATAGCGTTGTTTTTTATGAACAATATTTATATCAATCAAGAAAGTTTTAGGTATGCTCCCTTGTCCCATGATATTGTCATTTAGACCAATGGTATATGCTGTCTGTTGTCATTTAGACCAATGGTATATGCTTTCTGTAGTCATTTAGACCAATGGTATATGCTGTCTGTAGTCGTTTAGACCAATGGTATATGCTGTCTAGTCATTTAGACCAATGGTATATGCTGTCTGTAGTCGTTTAGACCAATGGTATATGCTGTCTGTAGTCGTTTAGATATGCTGTCTGTAGTCGTTTAGACAAATGGTATATGCTGTCTGTAGTCATTTAGACCAATGGTATATGCTGTCTGTAGTCGTTTAGACCAATGGTATATGCTGTCTAGTCATTTAGACCAATGGTATATGCTGTCTGTAGTCATTTAGACCAATGGTATATGCTGTCTGTAGTCGTTTAGATATGCTGTCTGTAGTCGTTTAGACAAATGGTATATGCTGTCTGTAGACGTTTAGACCAATGGTATATGCTGTCTGTAGTCGTTTAGACCAATGGTATATGCTGTCTGTAGACGTTTAGACCAATGGTATATGCTGTCTGTAGTCGTTTAGACCAATGGTATATGCTGTCTAGTCGTTTAGACCAATGGTATATATATGCTGTCTGTAGTCGTTTAGACCAATGGTATATGATGTCTGTAGTCGTTTAGACCAATGGTATATGCTGTCTGTAGTCTTTTAGACCAATGGTATATGCTGTCTGTAGTCGTTTAGACCAATGGTATATGCTGTCTGTAGACGTTTAGACCAATGATATATGCTGTCTGTAGTCGTTTAGACCAATGGTATATGCTGTCTAGTCGTTTAGACCAATGGTATATATATATGCTGTCTGTAGTCGTTTAGACCAATGGTATATGCTGTCTGTAGTCGTTTAGACCAATGGTATATGCTGTCTGTAGTCGTTTAGACCTATGATATATGCTGTCTGTAGTCGTTTAGACCAATGGTATATGCTGTCTGTAGTCGTTTAGACCAATGGTATATGCTGTCTGTAGTCATTAAGACCAATGGTATATGCTGTCTGTAGTCGTTTTATCCATGACAGTATGCAAGTTTTACAGGAATCTTCCAATTGTTTACTAGTATGTGATTGACCTGGTTGTTTCTGGATGGTTTCCAGTGGTCGGAATTTGATTTTGATATTAACATTATACCCTTCTCTTCCCACTCTTACAAGTGGGGGCTTTATTGCAGTCACCTTTTCCGTCCGTCTATTCGTCCGTCCGTCCGTTGTACAAATATTTCCATAAATTTTTTCATGATGCTTTTCTAAGGTACTATTGAACAAAATGAATTCATACTTGAGTCAGCAGCTTGGCAGTGATGAGTAGCAATGTAACGTATGAGCACTTTTTATACGACCGCAAAACAATTTTGTGGTCTTATATTGGTATGACGTTGGCGTCGTCGTCCGAAGACACATTGGTTTTCGCACTCTAACTTTAGTTTAAGTGAATGGATCTCTATAAAATTTTACCATAAGGTTCAATACCGCAAAAGGAAGGTTGGGATTGATTTTGGGGGTTATGATACCAACAGTTAAGGAATTAGGGGCCAAAAAGGGGCCAAAAATAAGCATTTTTGTAACTTTCAGACATAACTTGTGTGCTAGTGTATGGATCTCTCTGACATTGTACCACAAGGTTCCATATCACAAAGGGAATGCTTGGATTGATTTTGGGGGTAATTGCCTCAAAATTTTTGGAATTAGGGGCTAAAAAAGGGGCAAAAAACAAGCATTTTTCTAGTTTCATGACAATAATTTGTGTGTAAGTCTATAGATTTTTCTGAAATTGTACTACAAGGTTCCATATCACAAAGGGAAAGCTGGAATTGAGTTAAGGGGTAATTGCCCAAAACGTTTAGGAATAAGGGGCCAAAAATAAGCATTTTTCTAGTTTCCAGACAATAACTTGTATTCAAGTGTATGGATCTCTCTGAAATTGTACTGCAAGGTTCCATATCACAAAAGGATGGTTGGGATTGATTTTGGGGGTTATGGTACCAACAGTTAAGGAAATTAGGGGGCAAAAAACAAGCATTTTTCTAGTTTCATGACAATAACTTGTGTGTAAGTCTATGGATCTTTCTGAAATTGTACTGCAAGGTTCCAAATCACAAAGGGAAAGCTGGAATTGAGTTTGGGGGTAATTGCCCAAAACGTTTAAGAATAAGGGGCCAAAAATAAGCATTTTTCTAGTTTCCAGACAATAACTTGTGTTCAAGTGTATGGATCTCTCTGAAATTATACTGCAAGGTACCATACCACAAAGGGAAGGCTGGGATTGATTTTGGGGGTAATTGCCTCAAAATATTAGGAATTAGGGGCCAAAAAGGGGCAAAAAACAAGCATTTTTCTAGTTTCAGGACAATAACTTGTGTGTAAGTGAATGGATCTTTATGAAATTGTACTACAAGGTTCCATATCACGAAGGGAAAGCTGGGTTTGAGTTTGGGGGTAATTGCCCTAAATGTTTAGGAATATGGGGCCAAAAAAGGGGCAACAAAAACGCATTTTTCTAGTTTCCAGACAATAACTTGTGTTCAAGTGTATGGATCACTATGAAATTGTACTGCAAGGTACCATACCACAAAGGGAAGGCTGGGATTGAGTTTGGGGGTGATGAATCGTAAGGGGGTTCAAAAAATTTGGGGGGGATTTTTTTCCCCTTTTTTTTCTTTAAAATTTTCCATTTTAAATTGGTTATTTCTGATTTATATATAAAAGCCAATAATAATGATATGGTTTGAATAGGTAAATTAAATTTTTTTTAGTTTTAAGACCACTTCCATATGTGTCAGAAACCTATGCTGTGTCAAATATTCTAACATGACGTTCTTCAAACGCTTTGAGTACACACCCGTGGTAAAATATGAATATATTGTTTGGGCTGTTCCGATCGTACTCCCGCGTCATATGCTTTTTTTATGAATGAGCTACCCGACGTCATAGAATGATGACGTAAGAATATAAGCATTTTACGGGAAAATACACGCTTGTGAAACCGAAAATCATCACAACAAGGAAACGTAAACAAACGATGCTAAAATGTGTTATATGAGCCATTTTTTGTTTACATATAAGACATATAAATACAATTATCATTTAGATTCATCCAAACCTATCTAAATATGTCATTGTAAATATTGAAGCATGCCATTTATTCAGTTTTCTCCGTTCTTTTACGTCAATTAAATAGTGCGTTTATTTATGGGAACGGCAAATAATGCCTTCACATAGAGCGCTTCGATCCAAAAGAATTGCCGTATTTGTCCTATTGGAATCGAAATAATTCATGGGGGCTTGAATATATCGTGATTTTACCACGGGTTGTCCCTTTATGCCGATATTTTACCCCTCGCTATCGCTCAGGGTAAAATATTTGTCATAAAGGGCCAACCCGTGGTAAAATCACGATATATTCAAGCCCCATGAATTATTTCTTAATTTAATCACAATCTAAATTCAGTGCTGTATCAAGCTTGAATGTTGTGTCCATACTTGCCCCAACTGGTCAGGGTTCGACCTCTGCGGTCGTATCAAGCTGCGCCCAGCGGAGCATTTTATTGGATCTGTCGGACACCTTCTTCCTATTTGCTGAATGCTGATACTTTTAGATTTTCAATATATTTAATGCACTTAAAATGTTTTGTCACACTTTTCTCAAGTACTTTTGACCAGAATGACTTCATATTTAGTCTGCAGCTTTTCAGTGAGGAGTTTTTATTTGTTAGGTTATTCCAAATCTGTCAGACACTTCCTTCATGTTATCAAACACTTTGAATTACGAATGAGGGTATGATTAGCATGACATCACGTGAATTCTTGTTGTGTTTTTCTGTATTACAGTAAATCAATTTTTTTCTGTAAGCGGAATCAGTAAAGATGTGTTCTTGTGTTCATTTGAAAAAAAAACATGCCCTGATTGTCCTCTTAATTGAATACCATATTTTGGTTTAGATGTGAGTAAAACAAAACAAACATAGTGCTAATGCAGAAAGTTATAAGAGTTCTTAGTAAAACCATAGTAGATCATACAAAGTAATAAATTTAAACAATTATAAGAACAAATAATAAAAACTAAAGGTAGTTCTCTTGCAAGCAAACAACCTATAACTGACAAATATAAGGGCATACACCATAAGCCTGGGGACACATCCTACTGCATCAAAAAGCACAAACCAAAAACCCTGCAATCAATGTAAAATAAGGAGATTCCAATGAGACAAGTCTCCAACAGAGTCCAAATGACCGGGATTAAAACAACTATATGTCACTGTAAGGAATACAGCATTTTATAGACAGCTATATATAAAAGGCTCCCACATATCAAAATCTGAAAATTCAAATGAAAAAAAAACTGTTTTGAGTTTACAGTAAGTCGGCTTATGTTCAGTATGCACTGTGTTGCATAAGCATCAGTGGCATTCATTTCCAGATTCTTTTTTAGACTTTCTGAAATCGTTGCAAAGTTTACACGTTTTACATGCAATTGACCTGCTTAACGAGGATCTATAGCGTGGATTCAGGGTCATAAATATCGATTTTAGTATAAAAATTATACTATAATCGATTTAAGGGTATCCTAAATTCATTTTAGCATATACTAAAATCAGGCTGTTCTAAAATCAATTTAGCATATACTGAATTATTTAGCTTATACAGAAATATTGGGGCGGAATTAAGGCCATAAATAACGATTTTGGTATATTTAAGTATACACTGAAATGATTTTAGTATATGCTAAAATGATTTAAGGATACATTTAGGGTATGCTTAATTGTAATTGAGTATATACTAAAGTCGATATTTATTACAAAGATTCAGCGTCATAGGGGTCACTTTCTTGTGTCATTTGGTGTAAACTTGCATTTACATCACCTAGTCTTTTTTGCATGAGATCTGTGTAGCCTCACTTTCACGAGTCAGGTTGCGCTGATGAAAAATAATTTAAATTTTCATTTATTATGTACTGAATAAAAAGTTGTAACTTAAGGATCATCAAGATATATTTTCCCTTCAACTGCATTAAGATTTAGGTTTCCAACAAGATTTGTTTTCAAATGTTACAACAGGGAACATTTTAATCTTCGTTTGATGAGGATAGACTGTAACTTTAAAGATATTCTATTGAAAAAATATCTGTTACACAGAAAAGGGTGTCCATGCCCAAGCGCCTGTATGTGTATACAGCAGCCTAGGATCCTGGCCCAATCTCTGCTTCGAATCATTGTTGAACAGTGAACCAGGGTGATGATCCCAGGCTATAGGTGTATTGGCTTTGAAACTTTTATTAAAGGTTGTCATTGAACACATAAAATTAGTACTCATAATAGGCTTTATTTCAGTTTTAGGCTGAGTTCTTGACAAGGAATGCGAACTTCATGTATGTACGCGTTGGTCGATTTATGGCAACGCTAAGACGATTATTACACAATAATACATGGCTCATTCACTGCTCGACGATAAGGCGAAACGGAGATATGGCCAGGATCATACTAAGCTGAATTATGACACAATCGATTTGACTATGTCCCCCTTAATTTGCTGCAGAATAAGAATAATATATTTATTTGTATAAAATCCAAAATAATCAGATTGCTACTAAAAAATATAAAATAAACAATACACAACACAAATATATAACATTCACAAAAAATATGAGAAACAAATCTAAGTTTTTTAGGGTTTTTTTTTTACTTTTTCTCTTCTTAAATGCTCGACAACATGTCCCCTGCAGTGAGGACATATCAGTGTTAATGACCAACAAAAGAAGTCTGCGTATGTATTATATATATCTAGTCCTTGAATTAATGATGGTATATGAAGAAACAGTGCTCGAGTTGGGATGTAAAAAAAATCAAGTACTCATAACCGTTTTGTTTTATAAATAGATAGTTTATATTTAAGCTCGACAAAAACAGCACAAATAATTTTTTTTTTTTTTAATTTTTTTTTAAAGTTAATAATTAGTTTTTTTTAACCTCGAACACAAGAATCAACCGAAGTAATTTTATTCATATGTAATTTTGAATCAGAAAACATGATAATAAAAAAAGAAGCGTAAATAATTACTTCCCGTCAAAAATCAATTACATAGGAATTTTAAACTAACCTTAATTTATCAAGACACGTAAAAGGAGACGAACCTTTTCAAACAACTTACAGTAATTGAAAATTAAATATTTCTTTGATAGATTTATGATAAGGTGTTTCAGAATTAGATTTGATTTAATCCTGGTGATGTACTTTGTAAATACGTAAATGGAGACACCATAAATCTAACATTATAATATATATACAAAGTTGGTCATGTTAGATAAAACTTTTCAATTTGATTTCATACACTTAGGAGGTACGTAATAGTCCTTGGATTTATCAACAATGATTGTAATATGTTGTTTTTAGAGGCAGGGCATTTCCATGCATACTTCATAGTAATTTTAATGGTAAGCGCAACTTAATATAATTTGTTGTACTTAAGAACGAAAAAAGAGGAGCATCAATTGTAAAAAATCATGATTAATAAATTTAAATTTTTTTCTGACTTGACCCCTTTCATTTTTTCAGAAGAAAACGTGAATGCAAAATAGAATATTATAATATTTTCGTCAAGATATTAGTTTTTTGCGAAATTTCACAAAAACGTCTGATTATTTTCAGCGCCACAGAATTATACACTCGGGATTTTTTTGTTGTTGATTTTTTGGTTACATATCATAACCATATCAAAGACATGCACGGTTTGCGGAAGTATTTAGAATGGAATTAATATTTACAATAAACTGATAAACTTAACAACACATTTGAATATGTATACGAAAAGTGGACGGTAATCATATACCAATATTTGCAGTGGACATTCTGACAATGATTTCACACACCTATATAACTTGGGGATTAAAAGTAGTCTTAGCTATAAAATACAGTTAAAATCGGAGAAATGTAGGAATTTGAATTTTCTTAAATCCTGAATACTTGATAATTATTTTAAATAGTTTAAAGCCTCCACCTGTTCATGTGTCTGTCCGAAGTCAGGAAGATCGTCAATGGTTGTCTTTTGTAATGTCTAAATTTGACGATTGATCTCCGCTATATATATATAGTCTCTGCTAAATTTATTCCAAACTTTTTGGGACTTCAGGTCACAGGCACTTGCAATGTCTCTGAATTTTTTATACCTATACACATACCTTAATATACCACTAAAATATATAGGTAAACAAAATTCAGAAACAAGTTCCAGTGCTTCGGGTAATTAAGAGCTTGCCTTATTGTATAGACGCATGTCTATTGTCAAAGGCCTTATATTGACCCCTAGTTGTCTTTTTGTTTTCTATGTCGTGTGATTTATGTATTATTGACTACTTAACATCTGTTTCAATCATATTGTTAAGCTATGATTTTCTGCACATGTGCTGTCGTGAAATGTTGTTTTAAATAAAGATGGACAGGAACATGAGAAAAAAGGAGGATTGGAAAAGAAATTATGTCAAAGCGAATAATTTTCAGTCGGAAACCAGACTAAGTATGCTAAATAAAAAATACAATATACTAACGGGAATGGGAGCTAGATTATTATTCAAGAGAGGTAGTATAAGAGACTAAACAGTAACAACATGTGCAAACGTCATTCACGCTCCCCTTAAATTGTAGCCAGTAGATAATTGTTGAATCATAAATAGTCACTGCATAGGTTAATTGCACTTGAACTTTTATTGGTACTACATGTTAATAAAACTGTCTTTCTAAAATCAAAACCTACTTCACCTGACATGAACTTACCTGTTTGACGGTGTTTTATTTTATGTGAAGATCATGACCATTTGTTACAAAAGTATACCAACCACACACTTTTTTACCGGCTATTGGTACGACAGATACAATATGATCGGCTATCGGTACGGTAGATACAATATGATCGACTATTGGTACGGCCATTGGTACGACAGATACAATATGATCGGCTATCGGTACGGTAGATACAATATGATCGGCTATTGGTACGGCCATTGGTATGGCAGATACAATATGATCGGCTATCGGTACGGTAAATACAATATGATCGGCTATTGGTACGGCCATTGGTACGGCAGATACAATATGATCGGCTATCGGTGCGGTAGATACATATGATCGGCTATTGGTACGGCCATTGGCACGGCAGATACAATATGATAGGCTATTGGTACGGTAGATACAATATGATCGGCTTTTGGTTCGGCCATCGGTACGGCAGATGCAATATGATCGGCTATCGGTACGGTAGATACAATATGATCGACTATTGGTACGGCCATTGGTACGACAGATACAATATGATCGGCTATTGGTACGGCCATTGGTATGGCAGATACAATATAAACGGCCATCGGTACGGTAGATACAATATGATCGGCTATTGGTACGGCCATTGGTACGGCAGATACAATATGATCGGCTATCGGTGCGGTAGATACAATATGATCGGCTATTGGTACGGCAATTGGCATGGCAGATACAATATGATCGGCTATTGGTAAGGTAGATAAAATATGATCGGCTATTATTACGGCCATTGGTACGGCATATACAATATGATCGGCTATCGGTACAGTAGATACAATATGATCGGCTATTGGTACGGCAGATACAATATGATCGGCTATCGGTACGTTAGATACAATATGATGGGCTATCGGTGCGGCAGATACAATATGATCGGCTATTGGTACGGCCATTGGCATTGCAGATACAATATGATCGGCTATTGGTACGGTAGATACAATATGATCGGCTATTGGTACAGCCATTGGTACGGCAGATACAATATGATCGGCTATCGGTACGGTAGATACAATATGATCGGCTATTGGTACGGCCACTGGTTTGGCAGATACAATATGATCGGCTATTGGTACGATAAATACAATATGGTCGGCTATCGGTACGGCAGATACAATATGATCAGCTATTGGTACGGCAGATACAATACGATCTGGGTTCCATATTGATATTTGAAACTATTCTTTCGGCTATCATATACAGCAGAATTTCATCTACAATTCCGCTTGCCATTACAATACAAATGATTTGTTTGTAATCGTGTGCAGCAGATTTTAATCTGTGTTACCTATTGTTACTGTCGGGCCCAGTGTGAACTAATTAGAAAAAAAACCTATCACAATGTTAGACAAAGTTAATACTACTAATCCTAATAATAACCATTAACGATAATGATAATGATTATACTAACGATAAAAAAAACAACAGCCAGGGAGTTGAGTCTATCGAGACATAACTGATGATAGTCGAGAAGAATTCTATAGGAAGTACGTAATGGTCAACCTTAGAATCAATCTGTACGTAAAGGTTACGAAAGTCGTTGACTGATAGAATTATCAACTCAGTTAATAAAACGTATAAAAATAGTGTAAAAGATATATATAATTATTAATGTTTTGTTTCAAATTACTTAGCAAAATTAGCACCCAATTATAGGCAAGCACATTGTTATTCGAAGTCAATGAATAAAGACCGTAACGTAACATGAACAGAGCTGGATTTTATAGCAATGTATTCGTATTTATACAACAATGTTTAATGGAGCTGAATGAAACTAGGTGATTGTAATAGGATTTTATCCCAACGAACCTTTAATATTACATGTAAACCTAATCAAATGTTTGACAGATGACAAGTTCAACGATTTTTGTATACTTCGTGTTAAGTATGCATAACAGATGTTATTTTTGTAGTAAACAACATCACCAGTAAAAATTGTATAGAAGAGAATGGGTTGTGGAACTTCTGTTAATTCTGTCGTACCTTTACAATACTTCGAAAACCAAAACGGAAGTGCACTGAGGATTAACTGTCCTGGCAGCGACATTTTAGATTACGTATCCACAGAGGAGATTAAAGAGGCGGATGAGCGTGCTGAACAGGTAAATAATAGTACAAACAAGTAATCTGGGATAAGTGGGTGGGACTTCTTTCTACCCCCCCCCCCCCCCGCAAAAAAAATAAAGAGAAAAAGAAACGTTTAGAATACAATCTTTGGTAAAAGACGAAAAATATGAAAATACTGACATTGGCCTTGAATTCCTCAAATGATACCAGAGACATATAATACTATATGTCTCTGATGATACTAATTATCTTTTATAAACAACCGGTTAGTACTAGACAATTCATGGTTGAAGCCCGTGCAGGTGCAATGAAGTTGGTACTTTATCGTCCTTTCAAAACTGAAATTGGCCTTGAATTCCTCAAATGATACTAATTATCTTTCATAAACAGCCGGTTAAGTACTAGACGATTCATGGTTCAGGCGGAAACCCAGTTGAAATTAAACAAAAGAAATGGAACTCTTTGTTAGAGAAGGTAAAAAAGGCCAAGTTGGTAAATTTGAATTGTTTACATCTGTTTCTATGGGCTTTGAAAGTTTAATGAATGTACCTAATTTAGGATTTTATGTGTCTTATGTATGTGTTTTTACTTAAGTTATGGTATGGAGCTTCGAGATATTTGTTTTAAACTTTTAAATTATAGACAAATTTTCACAAAACAGTCGATTGTGGTAGGTGCAAATACATGTGGATCTTTTTTTGTGCATAAGCATAAATTCCGCCGAAAAAAATGCAAAAGAAAGTTAAAAGATTGAACTTTTAAACCATTAATTTGCATCTCTGCCCCCGGCGACAGTTTTTTGGAAAAAAAACCCAAAATTGGCCAATAATTTCATCGAAAAGAGAAAGTCGAAGACACCTTTTTTATGTTCAGGCGTGTTTGAGTTGACTATTCTGTCTTGAAAACGTATAAAAGAAAAATATTTGATGCATCATCTCGCTTCAGATTCTATTATTTTTATATATTTAGGCTCTAGGTTGATATAATAACATTAAAAATTTACAGTACCAAAAATTGAAATATATGCCATAATACCTTTCTAATGAGTCATAACAGCAGAGTAGGTGTGTTCGAATAACAAATCTTTATTAAAAGTACTTGACTATAGCAAGTGGATCTTAAAAATGCATAACTTCATAAAAACTTCATTTTTTGTGTGTGTTATCTAGGGTAATTACTCTTCAACCTCTGAAAATTTTTAGTCTGCCCTTCTACGAAATATTTAATTAGAATTTTTTTAAATATTTTTGAACTTTCGAAAATTCCCCCTGACAACCGATCAGACAATAGTTTTAAGTTGACCAAATGCATAAAAAGAACATTAAATGATGTTCAATAGATAGTAGATACATTTGTCTTTTAAAATACAACTGGCATATAAGGATCGTAATGATGATATGTGGATAAATTTATCGGTTTTCAAGAGCTAAATTGACAGCGCGTCATCACTACAATGGCTTCAATTTTTACGATTATAAAAATTAGGCGGCGTAATGGGGAGATAATTTTGACGAAGTAGAATCCTGACTGGGTTGAAGCCCGTGCAGTGCAATGTAGTTGGTACTTTTCGTCCTTTTGTTTCCGGTCGATAATTGTCTCATTGGCAATCATATCACATCTCATGTCATGTGAAATGAATTCGTTAAAAGACTTTTCATATTTTTAAACACACAGATATCAGCCTTATCATACAATGATAGTATCTCAAAGTATTGTCTGGATATAAAAATAAGAAGATGTGGTATGATTGCCAATGAGACAACTCTCCACCAGAGACCAAATGACGTAGACATAAGCAACGATAGATCATCGTGGAGCCTGTTTCTCAGCGGTTGTCGTTGGTTGGTTTCTGTCTTATTTGTTTTTCGTTTATAGTTTTTAATGAATAAGGACGTGGTTTTCTCATTTGAATTGTTTAATATTTTATCACGCCGGGCGTGTAAAATCTTACTTTACGGTACTGATTTTGCTCATGGTTGAAGACCGTACGGTGCATTCATACCACATCTCCCAACTTTAAAGCTTACTATATGGTATAGGATTTGCTCATTGTTGAAGACCGTATAGTGACCAATGGTTACTACCTCCTCGTCCTTTGGTCTCTGGTGGATAGTTGTCTCATTGAAATTCATACCACATATCCTTAAATTTATATTCTACTCTGCCAAAAGAAATAAACTTGTGAAATGAGTTTTCATATATTTGAACGATTAATGGAATATTAATGTTTTTTTCATGTAAATTTAATATTAAAAAACGTTTCAAAATAGTTTACCTTCACGAAATTATAGTTCATTAACTCGCAGATATATGGACTGTATAAAGATTAATGGTTTATGTTAAATTGAAGGAGGTATCTAAAAAAAGGTTTTGACATACTTAGTTGCAATTAAAAAAATCATCAAATTGTTTAGTCACGTAACAAATTAAAAAGAAGTGTATTAAAGAATGAACATAAAACTATTTTGGTAATAATTGCCGGTGTGCATTACATTAATATTGTGCCTGTTACAAAACTTTGAATTTTTCGAAATACTAAGGATTAATTTTTCTACCCCAGGAATATCTTAGCGGTATTTGACAAAACCTTTCGGAACTTTGGGTCCTCAAAGCTCTCCAACTCCGTACTTTATTTGGCCTTATGAACTTTTTTGATAGGAGCGTTACTGATGAGTCTTTTGAAGACAAAACGCGCGTCTGACATACAAAATTTTAATCCTGGTATATATGATGAGTTTAATGATTAATGACAAGGTCTGAAAATAAGTTTTATTTTGTAATGACAGTTTTTCCTCGGTGCGAGAATTTTAAAGACTTTAAAGGACTAACGAAAACACGTACTTTCTAAGTCAAATATAATGTAAGAGTATTGTTGACGTGTGAACAGTGTAAGGCTCGCTATTAAATAGATTTATAATTCCCTTGGAATCTTAAGTTTCTTAAAGTTTTCAACTACAAACACAAGAAATGTTTGTTATACATCATGTCTGATTATACCATTATTGTGGACTAGTAGTACACCAGCAGCAGTATCGACCCAGTGCTTGAAAAGGAAAATAAAACTTTATTAATTTTGTGCGTCCGAAGTGATTATCTAGATTAAACTTCATTATGGCCCATAAGGGACGTTCATTTCCTACCACCCCCCTCCAAAAAAATTTTATTAAAATTGGCAGCCAATGATGTTTAACTACTACAATTCACGAGAAACTTATGGTCAAACTATGGTCCTGAGAAAGTTCGGATCTTAGTTAATAAAAATTATAATACAAGAAATGTTGTTATAAACCATGTCTGATGATAAAAGAGATATAAAAAGGATAGCCAACTCCAACTTAGGTTAACTTTGCTAAGGGAGTTTGAATCTTAGTTTCATAATAATTTCTTAAATTTTCAACGGCAAATTTATGTGTTATAAATCATATTAGTATCGAAGTACTGACTATTGAGCTGGTGAATACCTCGGGCACTAGCGGTCCACCAGCATCGGCTCGAAACAGAAGATACACACTGTAATACATTATAATTGTTATGAACCCGAAGCCAAGGATGTATAAATACTAAATTAATGGACGATTTACAATAAAAGAAAGAGTTATTTTTTTCAACCGTTTATAGTGTTTTATAACTACTAACAGTACGTTTGTCTCTTTTGTCTTTTCAGTTGAATCTTTCCGAAACATCTATAGATATTTTGTCAGAAAACTTGTGCCAAAATACCAAGAACAAAGTAATATGTGTTAGGTTATTCTTCAAATGGATTGTGAACAATATTAGGTAATTTATAAGTAGCTAAACTTAAGAAAAAAGTCCTGAATTCTCGAAATTAGAATATTTACCTTCTCAGCGTGTTCGACATATGATATTAGCTTGGAAGTCTTACTGACTTGGACAGTAAGAATAGCAATGCAAGCGCTGTTCCTTTGATTTTGGTTTGCACTGTAGGCATGTTGTTTCATGAATCAACTTCGTAAATTGGTTGCCGGTCTATTTTTCTCGGAGGAGCTGGGCGTCAGTAGTTAGTGCCGTCTGTTGCACAGTCCATTGTTGGTAACTCCTGGCATCCTTTTTATGTATAATTAAATGGTATATATTTATGCTTTATTCTTTTAAATTACTTTCTAACGACTAACTCACTTTTGAAGAATTCAACTTTTTGAAATGTTTCAATAGGTATATATATAGAAAATGTATGAATATTAGTAGATGTGGATATACGTAAATGAGACAACACCCCAACGATATACTTGAAACAAGCATATTACCCCATAATAGTAACAGAGGTTAGCATGCGTATACAATAATATACAATTACGGCCCTCTGAGGAAAATAATATCCATTAATATACATTAAAGCTAATTCTGAGGGCATTATAATCGTAAATGAGTAGGCTCAAACGGGACAGTTCCCTATATCTTTAATTAATATATGTAATGAAAACCCTCAATTAGTGGAACGTGAAGTAATCAAGCCAGTCAGTGGTTCATAGACGTAATAGCTGACATAAGTTATATTTTCTGCTCTGATTCCATATCCGATTTTGGCTCTTCTTTAGGTCCTTTTTGATTTGATCAGATCTTCAACGTTTGTACTATATTTTGGATTTTCAAATATTTTGGCCCCGAGCATCACTGAAGAGACACTTTAAAATTGTCGAAATGCGTATCTGGTGCAGTAAAATTGGTATCGTTTATGCTATTATACAGTCACTATTGAACATTGTTGAATACATGTTTCATCTTTAATGCATAGATTTCTTTTTACAGATATGACCCAACTTCTCAATGCACGGACGTCAACAGTATACTTAACAGCAAAAGAGGCTCGTCAGAGGGTTTTGCTAATTTATTTGAACACATGTGCAGGTATTAATTCTATTTTTAGGTTTTTCAGTCACGGAACACGTTGACGATAATTGAACAGTTATCAACCTGCTCAATATATTACAGATACACTTTAATAGTAATATTGCCAAAATGTTGTACCTCGTAAAAAAATCACAAAACAAAAACATATGGTTTATTTTGTGCATATATAAACTGATAGATTGTTCAGTACGCTATGAACAGTGCAAACAACTAAAGAAAGCCGCATGAAAACGATTGATACATATTTCTGTCCGCATGATAATCTGATTAAAATTCAGATCTATAACAATCCGCGTGCTCGTATATATATAAGGTTAACAAAATCAGAGATCTATATTTTGATTAGATTGGTCAGCATGACATATCCCTTGAAACCAAAAAAAATAACCTGAAAGTAAATATATATACGATTGGATTGTGAGAACACGAAAACCAAAATGGATCCAAGTGGTCCAATATCAAATGAATATCCTATTTTGTACATACAATCTATAAAATGGTCTGGTTCAATGTGCTAAAGCAGTTTATAAGTAGTTCATACAATCTGGATTCCTTGAAAATTATATATTTTTAGTATTTTGTCTTGCAACTAGTCTTCGAAAATTGGATATTTCATGTTTTTGTATATTTTGTCCTTTCAGTTTTAAAAACATAAAGGTGATAAGACTTAACAGTTGTGTAAAAAGATACAGTTTTATCTTGGATAATGAAAAAATTGACAACAAATATAATTTGCACGTGTGGAATGCTGTTCTCATTGACAATATTTATCATCATGTGGACTGCACGTGGGCTGCGCTTCCAGTTAGTGACCAGAAATATGGTAACCCATATACTGAAAGTACAGAACAGTTCTTTTTTACATCTACGGATGTTATTGGAGATCTCTGTTGACAAAAATCAATGAAATTGAACATAAATTATCATGCTTTTAGTCAATGTTTTTTACATGCACCTATTTACATCTTTTAGTCCGTGATAATGAAGTTATGCTAGCCTACTAGTATCAGCGATTTTGCTTAACTCAAAGAGGTAATAAACAACAGAAAGAATTAATTTAACAATTTACTTAAACATACTTCTACTTGTTTTAAAAAAAATAAGATATGAGGGCCTGGGATAATCAATTCTGTATTCTTTTATTTCTAAGGTAATTTTTCACTATTCTTTAAGTTTTGTTCACTATTATTCTTTTTCTTGATAATTTAGCCACCAATTATTCTCTATTCCTTTTTTTGGCCCATTATCTATTATTTGTTTAATTTCGTCAATTTTTATGGACTTCTCCTTTTTGAATTTGCCTTAGAGTTCGGATTTTTGTTATATTTATTTACCCTTTATTGTCTATTCTGTTAACCCCAGCCAGACCATCATACATGTTAATGCCTCTTCGCCACATTTACATATTAATGCATAATTCTGTTGTATCTTTCATGTTGTTTCGTTTTGGTTTTTGTTACAATTTTTTTTTAATCTCAAAAGAATTTAAAGTCTGCGTCAGTTTTTTCTGGGGAATGTCATCAGATTACAAGAATGAGAGGCGTTTCTCCACCGTTTTTTTTCGCAAGGTCACAGTATCTGAAAGCCTCGTTTTTATTGTTATGTTAAAGATGCAGAAATGCCAAATCGAATTGCGCATTCGGATGCTGTGTTTTATCACACACATGTTTTCGATCAATATACTGCAGGAAGACAGTAAAAGCTGGCTCTGGGCTCTGCAAAAAAGATTGGTAAGCTATTCCATACAGAGTGGGTACATTGGTTTTGTCGAGGTCATAACAATTTTGAAAATAATCGAGCGCTCTTTTTGTCTTGCCTGTTGTTACACAAATCGCACCAAGATTGTTATAAAGACTTATATGGGCATATGTCTGTTATCCTTTGAGAACATATGATTGCCGCCTATGTATAAATTTTTCTCTGGTAAATAAGAGGCAAAAAAAATGCCAAAGGGACATTCAAACTCATAAGTCGATTTAAGAAAATAAACTGACAACGCCATGGCAAAATAAGAAAAGGACCAAAATACAAATAATAGTATACAAAACACAACATAGAAAACACAAGACTGAGAAAACCAAAGACTGAGCAACACAAACCCCACCAAAAATCGGGGGTGGTCTCAGGTGCTCTGGTAACAATGATCTTTTTCTGAAGTCATTTTTAAAGACCGGATTGGAGAAACCTATTAAATTATAGCTCTGCTCTGTCTTTTTTTTTTACATCGACTGAATTAGTACAGTCACGAAATATGGATGGTTAAACAAGTTTTATACACGTAAAAACCTACCATTTGTCATTTATAAACTATATGTTGTAAAAGCAAAAAACACAATAAAAAACAACTACATATAAAAATAAGATGTGGTATGATTGCCAATGAGAAAAATCTCCACCAGAGACCAACTGACGTAGAAGTAAGGAACTACAGGTCACCGTACGACCCCAACAATGAGCACAGCAAGTTATAAAAGTCCTCGAAATGACAAATGTAAAATAAATAAAACGAGAAAACTAACAACCTGATTTATATGAAAAATAATAAACGAAAATCAAATAAGATCTGCAGCAACAAACGACAACCACTGAATTACAGGCTCCTGACTTGGGACATGCACAAACATAATGTGACTGGTTTAAACATGTTTGCGAGCGCTTAATCCTTCCCTAACCTGGGACAGTGGTGTAACAGCACAACGTAAGAACAAACTATAAAATCTCTTTAAAAGGGTTTAACTCATCAGATCGATATAAAACACAAAAACAACTAAAAGAAACAAATTAAGACACAAAGTACAGATCTGAGAGTACTGGCTTTTACTTAAAGCTAGTTCAAAGCCAATAACAACTAATAAAAAACTTAATGCCCCTCCGCTACGGCGGTATCGGTATAAGTAAAATTTATACCGATAAAACAATATTCAAAGATCTAATTACAGTGTAAAGTTTGTAAACTTTTTGAATAAGTTTATTTAAAGCTTCGATAAGTTTACTCGGATCGTTTCTAAGTTTTCGGGCTCAATAAACAACATCACCGTAAATTAGGATGTGCTATATCGTTTGTAAAAAGTTTTCTACAGGTACATCAAATCTTCCAAACCAAATCTTTGTAGATATAAGAAAGAATTTAGTAAAGATTGTAAGTAATTTGTGGTAACGAAATCTTCGACTTAATAATTTACAGTAATACATATATTTCGTTCATTAAAATCCAAAACGTCACTTCAGACACGGGCATAATGAACGAGTTGAGGAAAGCCCAATCAACCCCAGGATGACCCTAACTTACATATCTTGAGCCCTGTTGTTTACGTTATACATTATCTATGCAGTAAAAGATGACTTATGGAAAATGATGTCATATTCTAAGCCAGATGTATTATATTAAGTAAAATGAAAAGGGTTTTGGTGGCTCCACGCCTTTAAAAATCATTAAAACAGTAATTGATATACTCTTTTCCTTTCTTTTGATGTATATGGGCGTTTGATTTTGCCATTTGATAAAGGACTTTCCGTTTTGAATTTTCCTTGGAGTTCGGTATTTTTGATATTTTACTTTTTACTGTTACTGTTGTTCAACATCGGAAGAAGAAGATCTGGAATTTCTCATAAAAAGAAGGAGGGTAGCGTCAATTAGCCGAACATTTTACTGACAAGTCTGCAAAGAGACCATGCAAAGGTTTTACAGAACAGAGAACATAATTTTGAAAAAGGTCAGGCTGTACTCCGTTTCTTTCATATACCTCTTGTATAGAACCTCTATAACAAAGGTTTGTTGAAACCTAAAATTGGAATAATAGATAATTTACAAAAGATATTGACCATAGATAAAGTGAAAAAAGTTAAAAGACTAGGATGATTGAATAGATAGACAACTTGCACATTTCACGGCGTTTTGTTTGAAAATCTATAAAAAAACAACCAGAAAAAGGGTTTCCATTTAAGAGTCGTATGTTTTCTTAATTTTGTTTTAACTTGTTTAATTGAGAAGAGTACAATAGGTCTAAGTAACATAAAATTATTTTAATCCGGAAAAGCCTCCAAAATTTACGGAATGTATTCTTTATGTAAGAGTTTGCACATGTGTTTGTGTTTTTTCCAATGTTTGTTTTGACATTCTTTTGAACAGTATGTAGCTGTTCCACAATTACTACATTTTTTCAGCTAAAAGGATGAACGGTAACAAGAGCAACATGTTTGAAAAATTTGAACTGCTTTTCTCGGGTGTTGAACTCCTGTGTTATTGTTTCTTCTGATATTTCGGTTGGTGATAATTGGGGGTCTAGAATACTCTAACCGTTCCTCTGCAAACTGTATTTCGGTCAACATGCTTTCTATCTCAGTCTTTACGTTGTCTTTCAAACCAATTTCAGAAGAATTTATAGCAAAAATGTCCGGCCCTGTATGATCTCGTATGGTGTTGCCATCAATAACAGAAGCTGAATAATTTGTTCCAATACGTATTCCACCACACTTGTTTTCGAAAATATCATTTTCCACAATATATACCGATGATCTTGATTTAATCATCATTCCCCAAAGCCAGTTATCTATAATTTTATTTTCAGAAACTTCGTAAGTACCACCATCCAATGACATCCCAGATAATCCGTTCTGAATGATTGTGTTCTTGGTGATTATTGCTAGAGATGTTTCTTCTGACATCATTTCAAGCTTATGAATACTATCTAGATTTAACATTCCGCGACAAAATATTCCTTCCTGCCCATTGCCTTGAATAAGATTTCTACTGAATACTCCATAACCTCTGGGTCCAATTGCAATTCCATGAAACTGATTATCAATAATAACATTGTCTTTGACCTTCACCATTCCACCATTTCTTGCTTTAACTCCCATTTGCCTCATATTTCGTATTGTACAATGTCGTATTTCCAGACAAGCGTTATTTCCGTCAGCTAATACTCCTCCAACGCCACATCTATCCAGGATACAGTTTTGAACAATCAATTTACCTCCAGAGTCAACCCATATTCCCGGATAACCGACCTGACCACTGGCTAAATTGGCAAAACCTTTATTTTTCCCTTGTCTGTTACATTCTCCTGCTTTTCTAACACACCCTGAGCCACCATTACACCGAGGAAAATCATCACATCCTTTAGGTCCATTCGATATTTTACACCTATAAAATGTTGCAATTGCATTGGAGAGGACTCCTATTTGGGCGCTTCCTGACACAAATGACACATTTTCAAAATGAATATGTATTTGTTTTTCACGCTGAAATGATATTACAAAGGAAGAATCAGGTTATCTAAATATATGAAGGCAATGTTTAAGGTCAATTTCAACATTGTCTTCTATTCCTATGATCTGAAGACTTTTTGTTGTCACGACAGGATATAAAAGCCTGTAATAGCCGCTCTTTAACAACAATGAAGTGTACGGACGTTGTTCTAATGAGGATATTTCCAAACCAAGATCATCTGACTTTTGCATGATCTTGTAAACAACAAGAGGGTTATATATTTTCATTTTGTATTCTAGTAAACATTCGTCATTTAGTTCAGCGGCAATACATGCCGATGCGAGACCCACCTTTTTCAAATTCAGCAGGCAAGTCACCGTTTCTCACTAAGTTTGCCATAGCATAAGCTTTCCAACAATGTGCTTTCCATTGTGTAGGAGCAAGAATAATACATTTTTCTGCATCTTTAAATGCATTTTCATAATCGTTAATTTTGAGGTACATTAAACTTCGATTAGAATATAACCTGACATCGACTAAGTCTTCTTTGGAGAACCGTATACCTTCAGTGTAATACTGAATTGCATCATGATATCTATTATCCTTAAATGCTTCGTTTCCCTTCATCCTCAATATTTCTGGTTCATTTGTTAACGAAGTTTCCCCCTTTTTGGACCGTATTGACAAAACTGCTGACAAACAATCCTGAAT